AGAATGCTGTGGTGTTACAGCTCACAGCAACCTCAAACTCTTGGGCTAAAGCAATTCTCTTGCTTTAGCCTCCCAAATAGCTGGGACCACAGGCACCCACAACACTTGGCCATTTTTTTTTTTTTTTAGTTGCAGTTGTCATTGCTGTTTAGCAGGCCCGAGCTAGGCTCTAACCTGCCACCTTTGGTGCATGTGGCTAGTGCCCTACTCACTGAGCTACGGGCACCGAGCCCGGGAATGTTTTTATTTATATTTATATATATAGAGAGAGAGAGAGACAGAGTCTCCTTCTGTCATCCTAGGTAAGGTGCAGTGGTGTCACACAGCTCACAGCAATCTCAAACTCTTGGGCTTAAGTGATTCTCTTGCTCCAGCCTCCTGAGTAGCTGAGACTATAGGCGTTGGTCACCATGCCCGGCTTGGGAAATGTTTTTTTTTTTTTTTTTTTGAGACAGAGCCTCAAGCTGTCCCCCTGGGTAGAGTGCCGTGGCATTATAGCTCACAGCAACCTCCAACTCCTGGGCTCAAGCGAGTCTCCTGCCTCCGCCTCCCAAGTAGCTGGGACCACAGGCGCCCGCCACAACGCCCGGCTATTTTTTGGTTGCAGCCGTCATTGTTGTTTGGCGGGTCCAGGCTGGGGATTTGAACCCGCCACCTTCGGTGTATGTGGCTGGCGCCCTAGCCCGTTGAGCTATAGGCGCCGAGCCGGGAAATGTTTTTAAGTCAGCACATAATGTCATGTTTGGAAAGTCCTGGGGCTGGGCCTGTGCTGAACCTTCTCAGGCCCTGCTGGGCCTCCGCTGCTGTGGAACAAAGGTTAATGTTGGGCATATTTGCTGGGCAAGGTCTGAAAGGCCCTCACAGCAGAACTGGCTCTGTGAAGGGAGCCCTCTGCTTAGCTTCATGCTGGGGACCCCCTGAAGTCCCTCCCCTAATGGCAGGACCCCATGTCAGTGGGGCAGAGGAAAGGGACAGAGACACAGAGAAGGGGCTGGAGGTGACGTGTAGGATGGCGGAGGGAGTGCCATCCAGAGCAGTCCAGCTGTCTTTGGCAGCAGTCCCAGCAGAACGGAGAGAACAGATCCTCATGGCCCTGTGCTCACCTCCACCAGTCAGCCGAGGCCCCTTCCCTCCAACACTCTTTCCTCAGGCAGCATGGATAGCCATCCGCTTGCTTCAGAAACAGGGCAGGGGGATCAGGACGGACACCATGACCAGCTGACCTCTTTCATCCCAACTGCTCCAGGGAGCCAGAGGGAGACACAGACCCAAACCCATCTCTAGATGATGAGGCCCTCTGGGGGCTGAGAAGTTGGCCCTCCCAGGGGTCTGCAGTGGCAGGAACACCCAGGTGGCTTCAGTAAGAAGGGCCCCTGGCTAGAGGGAGGCTCAGGCCAGCATCAAGGAAGGTAGCAACCACCCCACTGGTGACTGGAGGTGCAGAGCTAACACCACAGCTGCCCACCTACCCAGGGCCTTGGCAGCTGATTGGGATCTCCTCAACCCCCTCAGTCCTTACCTGTCCGTGTCCCAGGGCAGCACCCAGCACACAGGCAGAAACCAGTTGGGATGCTCCCAGGAGCTCATGGAATTGGCCCTTCAGCTGCCTGCCTATCTCTCCCTGACCACAAAGCTGGAGCTCCGCCATCCACACCCTCATAGGCCAGGCAAGCTGTTCTGCTACTGCCCACCCCTACATATACACACTAGGGCCAGAGGTCATAGCTGGTGCCACACTGGAGGGTGCCCCCGCCCCGCACTGTCCTGACATTTATGTCCACAATGGGTGCACACAGAGGGGTACTGCTGAGAGGACAGCAGGCCTCTCCTGCTGTAGATGGCTGGGGTCTTGAGTGAGTTCTGCAGACATGGGGAGTCCCTGCCGGCCTCAGCCTAAACCAGAGACAGAAGGGAGCTCCCAGAACTGGTGGAGGTGAGAAGTGCTGGAGAGTGGGAAGTGAAAGGGTCTGGGGGATGCCAGCTGGGGGTATGGGGTAAAAACAGTGGGTAGGGTGGCCCTGAGTCCAAAGCTAGGAGTCTGGTGGGCCATGGAGCCCTGAGTGGTCCAGGTCCCTCTGGCAGCTATAAGGAGGGACCCAAAGAGGCTGGAGTAGAACTCAGAATCTGGATACAGAGGCCAAGGTGACCCAGTGACCAGCGTCAAGATGCCACTGAGGCAGGAGGGGGTGGGGGTGTCAGCTGCTAGTGACCAAAGCCCTCCTCCTCCCAGGTCTTGGACAGCAGGTGGGCAGAGCATTCCCCATTGGACCCCCAGGCTCCTGTGCTGAGCTGGGGGAGGGGGATCCTGAGTGTGGGCCCAGCCTTGTGTAAGCTCTGACCCCCCACATGATAGGGTCCTGAATGATCCAGACTATCTTGTCCCCCAGCTGAGCAGAGACCTTGCTGCACATGGGCTCCCAGGGATATCCTACCAGGTAATCAGCCCAAGGCCTCGAGTATTGGGGAGATAGGGATGATATACCCCCATCCTGTGTCCACTCTCACCCAGTGCTGGGACTCCAGCCTGGTGCAGAGACTCTGTGGGACCCACTCCAGAGCAGGGGGACAGCCTTGAACACAAACCCATCTGCTCAGGGGCCCTCTCATTGCACCCCCATGCCCTAGGTGTTGTCTGAGACCCCCAGAAGCTTAGTGAAACCCTGGGCAGCCCAGGTCTCCTGCCACCCACCCAGCCACATCCCACCCAAGGCACCTGGGTCCTGCTTCCTGGAAGGTCAAATCACCCTCAGATCACAAGACCTGAGCAGATCCCATGATGGCCCCCAGGAGTGCAGGTAATCATTGACCTCTTGCCTGACAGCCAGAATCCCTCACCCCCAGCTGCTCTGTCCACTCTTGCCCTGCTGTGGCCATAGGAAGGCTGGAACTTATGAAAGTCCCTTCTCCCAGACATCAGGCCCCACCACACCCTGACCACACCCCCAGAGACAGTGGTCCACCCGCAAATGCGGTGGGTGGCAACTGCCACTGGGGGCCCCCTGATATTGCTGGGGCATGGCTCCCAACTGCCCTTGCCAGGAAATGCCAGAAGGGGAGCTGACACACATGTTGGCCCTTGGCCAACAACTGACCCATTCAAGGTGACAGCCTGGCCTCGCTGCATAGCTGTTGTTGTCCACACTGCTAGCCCCAGGTGGATCAGGCTGAGGCACCCACTTCTCTGATCCCCACCAAGAACCTCACTCCCTTTTTAGGGCCCTCAACCTGAGCTCCAGCCCCACAGGTGCTTGGGGGGTCACTGAAGGTGACCATTGACCCTGAGGGGATGGCACAAGAAGGCTGCCAGAAGGAGCCTTGGGTGATGAGCACCTGTAGAGACCAAAGTCATGATGATGCTAGGGGCAAAGCCCACAGGCTGCAGCTGTGGGTGGGAGGGGCCGACCTCCCTGGACCTCTGGTCCACCAGCTTGCTGTCCCTGGGCAATAGCATGGGGGATGGCAAGCCATGCCAGGCCTGCCCTACACACTCACAGAATGAGGAGACACAGGCCTGAGGCAGAAGTGGGCTTTGCAGGCCACCCCCATGCCTCCATAGAAAGAAGCCTGAGGGTGGGGCCTGAGACCACTGCCCCAGAAAGTCCCACATGCTCAGCCTGGGCACTGGGACACTGCAGAGCTGGGCTTCGGGTCTCTGGGGTGAGCCATTCATCCCTGAAGTCCCATGCCACAGCCAGCTAAGGGCATCCAGCCTGGCAAACACTGGGCACTCATACCCACACACACACAAGCTGGCGTCAAGGTGTCATCACAGACACTGAGCTCCTGACCTATCCACCTCCTGCTCCTCGGAACAAGTCCCTTAGTGCCCCTCAGCCCACTGAGTAGCACCGGGTCTCATGGGCAGCACGGAGCCTTGGCCAGCCACTGTCTTCTCCTCATGAGACCACCAGTGTGGCAGCTTTGGTTGGGGTCCCAGGCACAACGTTCCACTTTTCCCAGTCCCACAATGGGGGGTGATCCACAGGCCTCTGGGAGAAGACTCTCTCCACAGCTTCAGCACCCTGAGGGCCAACCCCCACCCCCCATATGTGGGTCAGGTCAGCACAGGGACCCAGCCAGCAGGCAGCAGGTGATAGAAGCTTGCTGGGCAGGGTCGCCTGGCTGGCTTTCGTCAGTCCTATGGCTTCTCATCACCCTGAGCCCCTGGCTGCTGCCCTCAGACCCAGAGGAAGCCAAGGGCACAGGGCCCCCACACATCAGCCACCGAGGGGCTGTAGGCCCTCCCATGGATGAAGAACCTACAGCCTGGCTAAGCCTATCCTGTTCTGCATGGGCTGAACTGGTACACGCACTATGGGTGGTATATCCAGCGAGGGTGCAGGGTTCGTGCCACATGCAGCAGCACTATCAAGAGTCTTGGCTATAGCACCACCACATGGTGGGAACCAATCCACAGGACCACACTGGCCACATCCACCCAGCTGCCAGTGTGAGGCAGCTCATACAGTCCAGTAGGCTAATGCCCAGTGGGCTCTGGGTCAGTCAGTGAGACGAAGACAATGCGGCATGAGAGGGACAGAGCTGCAGGCATGGTGGCTACACACCACTCGGGCTGCATGTGACCGTGGGCTGGACACTCCACAGGCCCAGCAAACACTGAGAGGCATCCCTGCTCGGGTGGGCTCCTCAGCGATAAGGATGCTCCATGTTCCTACACTCTGGGAGCAAAGCCTCCCTCATACCTGTTCACCCCTGTGGGGCCCCCACATCAGGATGAGGAGGCCATAGCTAAACTCCTTGCCCAGCCACACTTTACTCTTGATCCCTCTAGGGCACCCAGGACCCAAGTTCATGGCTAAGAAGGGCCCAGTATCAGTATGGCCACTTAAGCAGTCTGTCCCGTGAGACAGGACTGGGCAGGGCCAATGCAGGAGGCCACTGAGGCCCAGAAGACGAGTTTCCCACAGTGCCACCTGGTGCTGCTTTCGGTATTCCCATTTTTAAAACTCCAGGCATGTCTTCAAAAAGAAAAAAAAAACTACAGAAAAACCTTTAACGGTGAAAAACATTTCAAAGGAACGACTCTTGTCGCTGACAGCATTGCACGTGAAGTGGTCCCAGCCCCCGAGGATGTTTCTCAGTGACCAGCCAAGGGATGGCCATGGGGCCCTGCATCCACACCCCCAACCCCTGGTGGCAGATGGCACCCGGCAGACAGAACCAGGCTACTCAGAAACCCCCAGGGGGCATGAAGTGGGCAGGCATCCCCACATGGCCTTGGAGAGTGAGCTGCCCCCCATGGGGGACAGCCGGCACCAATCACTGTTTCCCAGGGCCTTGCCCCTAATGCCACCTGTAAGCCACGGTGGCTGTTTCTTGGGTCACACAGGAGAAGGAAGGGAGGGCAGAGCGCAACACAGCCATCAAGGGCCTGGCCTGCTGTGCTGGGGCCCTACCAGTTCTGGTTGTCCCAGCCCTCATCAGTAGGCGCTGCCTTTTTGGTGGCCTTAGACCTGCCCTCCCCACCAGCACCCTCCCAGCCCTCCCAGCCATCGCTGTTGCTGTTCCTGTGGTTGGAGGCTGAGCCCCACACTTCCCAGCTGTCCGAGCTCCTCCTCTCCGTGGAGGTATCCGCACAGGTCCAGCTGTCACTGCTTGGGGACTTGCGGGCCTTGGGGGGCTCAGCGCTTCCAAAGGTCTCCCAGAAACTCTGGTCTATGGTGCTGCCCTGCGAGTTGTCCCCACCGCTGCTCTGGTAACCGTGGCCCTCTGTGGGTCTTTAAAAAAGGGGGGGAAACTGAGCAGCTGCTACAAAACCACAAGTTCACACCACAGACCCCCCCTTCCCCCCCCTCGGGCTGCAGTGTGGGCCCAGTGAACTGAGACCCAGGCCTGAGCCTGGCCCATCACTCAGAATCCTGTGCCCCTTGCAGCTCCACCGGGACCTCCATGCTTGGAGAGTGATACCAGACCCCCTCACAGGACTCACAGCAGTCCCAACAGGTAGGGCTGCCAGAGCCTAAGTACCCACCAATCACCCACACTGGAGAACAATTGGAAAGAAAAATTCTTAACTGTTGTCAAAATCAACAACACCAAGGGGCCTGGTGGCCTGGTGCCAGGGATAGAGGCTAAGGACAGGTGGGACCCGCCTGGCTCAGTGGTAGCACTCTGCCTACACACGGTAAGGGTAGATGCGCTTCTGCCCATGGCAGAGACTATGCCCCAACCCCAGAAGCTGAGCATCAGCACCTACGGGCGGCCTGAGTGCCCACAGCCTAGCCGGGCCCCACCCCATTAGCTCCTCTGTGGCTCCCCCACAGGGGTCATCGGATGAGGAAGCCAGATACACCTCCCTCCAGGCAGACATGCCCAGCGCGCAAGCTGGGAGGCAGTGGAAATGCAGAGCAGGGCACACACGCCTCCAGGCACCCCCCCCCAAGGGGGTGAGACTCTCTTCCACCTAGCTTGGGTGGTGGTGGCTCCTAAGGGGTTCCTCAGAGCCTGTTGATGGGCCTCTCTGAAGCCCCTAGGCACCTGAGGCCTTTCTGCATCACAATCCCACCCCTCCCTAGCAGGGATGCCATTTGCCTTCTAATGCCCATGGGAGGATGGTGGGGCACAGGGCTGGGAGGGGATGTGGCTTACCTATCCAAGGGGTCCTCTGCTTTCCCAGAAAAAAAGGTGGTAACATCCCGCCATCCCTTACTGCTGACTCCCTGGACCTGGAAGATGGGAGGAGAGGCTAGCCATGTGCCACCACCCAAAAGCCTCTCCTGTGGAGAGGACCCGGTTTAAGATCTAGAAATAAGAGAAGCCTCACAGGCCTGGCACATGGTGCCCCACCACCCCACACACAGCGACACAGAAGCAGTCCAGAGGCAAGTGTGGGATGGTGCAGCCAGGAAGCCTTGCACACAGAGCAGTGGCCTTCAAGAGCTCACACCCACACACAGGAGAGGCAAGGAGGCCCTGTGGGCACAGCCTGCTTTTCACACAGTAGGTGGATGGTCCCTTGGGCTTCCTCCTGCCCACACAACACCTCATGCTAGAAAAGAACCAAACATGCCCACAACAGCCCCTGCAGTAGCAACGGGGTACCCCAGCTCTCAACAGTCTTGGCACTTACCAAGAAAAAGGCCAGAGCAGCAAGACAAGGGCAGAGGGAGAAACAGCAGTTAGTGGGTGACCAGCCCCCCCACCCTGGTTCAAGCTGTTTCCATATTCCTCAGGCCTCTGGGCCACTGGGCAACACTCCTGGCCCCAGAGGATACCCCTGCTCTCAGCAGGCACCTGGCCATGGAATGTGGAGACTGGCTTGCTTGCCCACATGGCCAGTGAGGCCTGCTCTACCTTGGATGCCAACTGAGAGACCCCACTGGACACATCATCAAAAATCTTTCCCTCCTTCACCTGTGCAGATGAAAACAGCAACATTAGTCGGGCAGAAGAGCCTGATTAAAGCTTCAGAGGAAAAGAGGGAAACATTGGTGTGAGATCATCTGAAACCACCATGAGGGCACGTACGCACCTGCCATTTAAGTCTCAAAACACTCCACAGTAGGCCGGGTGCAGTCCCAGTGCTCTGGGAGGTTGAGATGGGTGGTTGCTTGAGCTCAAAGAGTTTGAGACCAGTATGAGCAAAAGCAAGACCCCATCTCTAAAAATTAGCTGGGTGTTGTGGTGGGCAACTATAGTCCCAGCTAGTCAGGAGGCTGAGGCAGGAAGATCACTTGAACCCAAGAGTATGAGGTTGCTGTAAGCTAGGCTGAGGTCACGGCACTCTAGCCAGGGCAGCAGAGTAAGACTCTTATCTCAAAAAAGAAAAAAAAGGTCAAATAAAAAGCTCTGCAAGGTAGCGCCTGTGGCTCAGTGCGTAGGGCACTGGCCCTATATACCAAGGGTGGTGGGTTCAAACCCGGCCCTGGCCAAACTGCAACAAAAAAATAGCTGGGCACTGTGGTGGGTGCCTGTAGTCCCAGCTACTGGGGAGGCTGAGGCAAGAGAATCGCCAAAGCCCAGGAGTTGGAGGTTGCTGTGAGCTGTGTGATGCCACGGCACTCTACTGAGGGCGATAAAGTAAGTCTCTACCAAAAAAAAAAAAAAAGGCTCTGCAGTATCTATCCTGGAAATAATTTCCATATCATGAGACCATGCCAATCTAAGGTCTGCTGGCCACTGGGAACCAAGGACAGCTTGTTAAGGAAGGAACAGAGCCAGTGCCTCCTTAGGTCACTCCCTGAACTGGCATGTTGTGGTGAGAAGAGGGCAGAGTGAGTGGGGCTGACAGCTCCCAGGCTGGTCTCCGCTGACATCCCTGTACCCCCCACAGCCTTCTGGCTGGGCTGGCACTGTTCCATGGCTTCCCGCCCAGGGCAGCCAAGTGGGACAGAGGAGTGGGCACACAGGCAGGACGAATCTAGAACCAGACAGTCTGAGCTGCTGGACAGATATCCCCTCGGCCCCTGCACACACCCAAACACCCACTTTCCCTGGAGGTGAAAGGTCCAGGACATAGCAGTATGCACACCCCTTGTGGTTGCCCCATTACCTTCTCCTGGGCAGGCTTGAGGACGCTCTCATTCAGGCTGTGGCCCAGCTCTGAAGCCTGTGGGGAGGACGAGACATGAGCCCTATGAAGCTCCATGTTGGGCTTGCAACCCATGAAGGACACTTCGAGCACTGCCAACACAAGGGAAGGCAGCAAGCACCACACTGGACGCAGGGTTATGGGTCACAGAACTCGCTGACGCACACGCAGCTGCCACCAGAGAAGTCTGAGGCCCAGCCTCTGCCATGCACTCTCACAGGCTGGGCACATGGGATGCAGGGCTTGGCTAGTGGCATCCACCAGCTCCATAAGGACCAAAGTCCTTGGGGTTATGGCTGTGTAGGAGCCTAGGGATGTGGCCTGAGGAAGGCGCCTCTTTCCCGCAAGGCCAGGACAAGCACAGACAAAAGACCTCACTGGGAAGAATTCCCATAACAGACGGAAGATCTCCCCGCATTGGGCCAAAATTCCTTTGGACTCAGTCTGAGGTAAAGCATGGAATGAAAATCCCCCCAGCAGCCCCATGTCCCAGCCCAGCCCCCCACCCCCGATCTTTGAGGAGCTACGGCCTGAGATGGGCAGGGGGAGGGTCTGTGCGCAAGTGAGGGGTAAAGAAGCCACAGTGGGAGGCACGCAGCCAAGCGCATGCTGAGCGGATGTGGTGAGCACGCAGAGACACGCGTTACCGGCTCTGGCTGCTGTCTGTGACCCCAAAACTTTACCGCAACAGCATGGAGGCAGGAGAGAGAGCAAGGTGGGAAAGCAGCATTAGCGATAACCATGGGCAGCTCCAAACGCACCCAAGAGTGGGGGTGTCATTGACGGCGGCTCTGGAGCTGCTTCCTGCCTGGGCCTGACTGCACTGCTGCTCCAAACCCACCCACTCCAGAATCCGCAAGTGAATGCTGCTCGTGAGCCTGGACCAAGGCTCTGAAACAAAGCCAGCCGGCATCCCTACACCTGGATACCAGTAGTGGGCAAGGGGAGGACCCTCCCAGGGAAAGTGGGCATATCCCAGAGAGCTGCCCACAGTCCTTCCCAAGCACTTCTAACCCTGAGCCAGGCAGAGGGGGTTCCAACCACCACACAGGGTGTGGGGGGCTACTGACCAAGCACTGAATGAAGAAAGAAAGGCCAAGGCTTGAGATGATGCTGCTGCTCACCAAGGAGGATGCCCCACCAGGACAGGGCACAGACCACCCCACTGGGCCACAGGGTGCAAACCTGCTGGGCCACAGGGCTTGGCACAGGCAGCTCTGGCAACACATTATCCGGCTGAATGGCTACAGCACAGCCCACAGACCACAAGCCAGGTGGTCCTGCACCCAGAGGGCCCACTACAGGGCAGCCTTGCAACTGTGCCCACTACCCAGGACAGAGCTGAGCTGGTCCTGCAGGCCCTGAGGACATAGCTGCTCACTCCCCACCAGGCTGCATATACCCACACACCACGTGAGGACATGGGCCCAGGACATCCCTCCCTTCCAGGATGGGCCCAGGCAGATCCTGTGTTACCTTTTGACTTGCTTGGGATCCGAATTTTGTGGCCTAAAACAAGAAGCAGAGACAGAGCCCTTTAACCCCTGTCTACACTCACCACAAGGCTATACCCTGTGGAACCCAGGCTCAGCCCCAGGCCTATCTACTCCAAGCTGCCAGCGCCACCCAGCACAGCTCCAAGATGCTCAGAAGACCTGCAGATGATAGCACAAGCACTGGCCCAGGGCAGGACTGCAGTCAGGGCACACCTGTGCTGTGTCAGGGAAGGGGCCACAGTGAGGTTGACACCGTCCTCCAAAATATGGCAACAGGAGCAGGGCCCTGCACCCCAGTCACCTTCATACTCCAGAAAAGAGCAGGAAGCCTGGCCAGGGACACCCTAGCTGGAAGGCACCTGGACCACCCTGGCTGCAGTCTCCCACAGAGGCAAGGAAATGGAGGCCTTGGTAGGAATCAGCATTAGCAAAGTCCCAGTGCTACAAGAGCCAGTACCCTGGCCACTCGGTCTGCGGCCCTCCCTGGCTCAGCAAAGACTTGGTCCCCTCACGGGACAGAGGGGCAGGATGCCCTGAGCTCTGCTCTGGGCTCTCCTCCCTCCTGGATACTGCCACCCCTCACCATGGCCACAGGCCCTGGGTCTCAGGCCTGTTGCTCACTGCCTATGTTTACCAGGTCACTATCTTATACACCACTGCTGTCCTGGCTAAATCCCCAATCCTCCCATCAGGCCAACAGGCAGCCAAGGGTGAGACTGAAAACCCAGCTATCAGAATTCCACCCTGACAACCCAGAAGCAGAAGCTTAAGTGGCACAAGGTGTCCACAACCTGCTTCACTGGGCCAGGGCAGGGGCTACAGATGCACTGGGTCACGTCTGCCCCTGTAAAAGAGGGTAAGGACGCTTCTGATACGAAGAGAACACCTCCTGCCACAGCCACAATGGCCATGGCAGAGCTGCCAAGGCCTGAGCACCCCTAGCAGGGCGGTGAGGTCCCTGCCCAGGAGGGCTGGACCCCTCAAACCCCACAGCATCTCATATCCCCACACTGGGCCTGGTTACTTACACCCTCCTTCGCGGCCGAGGCGAACCTGCTGGCTCCAGTGGTGAAACTGCTCCAGCCCTGAGGGAGGCAAGACAACAGCCCTGTCAAGGCTCTAGGGTGCCCAGCCTAGTGCAGGGTCAGCACCCACCACTCTGACTGCTCAAGCAGGGGTGGGCCCAAGAGGAAGACTCCATAGATGGATCTGCCATTCCTGCCTCCGACACAGAAATGAGACTTGTCTCTCAGGGAGCACACCCAGGTAGCAGAGCATGTGCCCACAAGGGATGGACACAGGCAGCCAAGCCCGAGTGCAGGGCGGGCAGCCAGGTCCTAGTGCTGGGCCACAGGAAGCCAAGCCCAAGTGCAGGTTGGACAGCCAGGTCCCAGCGCTGCCCCCTCCTGTCTTCCCACAGAGGAACCAAGGGATGGCCAGTGGGTGGGTCACTGCTGCCACCAGGGACTAAGTTCTCGGCTGTTTTCTCATAAGTCTCCCTACTGACTTAAAGCTACTTAGACATACAAATGCCCCATTTTAGTCATCACTTACCCTTTCCCTCTTAAAAGAAACGAGGTGGAACCCTACACTTTATGAGGAAACCAAACTCAGCTGTCTTCAGAGGACAGAGACATAGAACAAAGCCTACATGACTGGCTACAGTCTTCCCTAAAGACCCAGCAGTGACTATGAGAGGACCTGACCACGGCTGCCACGTCCCTGCCAGGTACCCTCAGTACACTAGAGCCCCTGAGGTCCCCATGGAGCTCTCAGAGGCACAGAGACCTCTGTTAGGTACTTTCTGAATAAAAAGTTCATTCATTTTTGGAATACATGTACATGGTTCAACAAGGCAGTGTTCAGCAGTCTCCCACCTGTGCTATCAGCCCACCCCTGCGGCAACTGCTCTGATCCTTAACCATGTCTGTGGCCCTTTGCCCCACACCTTCACCTGCGCTCACAGTGTGAAAACAGACCCCTTCGTTTCCACTCTCTGCTGCACGCACCTGTTTCACTGGACATGGCCTGGGACGGCTGCCCAGTTAACCAGCCCTCACCAGCTGGGCCTGCGGGCTGTTTCCAATTATTGGCATTGTAGCCAATAATACTGCAATGTACAAAAATCATTTTTAAAAAACAGTAAGAATATCCTCAGAAAATAAAAGTTTGGCAAAATTTATTTCCTTAACTAGAGGAGTGCCAGGCAGCCAGGGTCACAGCTGAACATCTGCCCTGGCACCCTCAAAGGGCGGCCTAGAGGTGTGTGTGTGTGTGTGTGGGGGGGTTCCAAGCACCACCAGCCAAATAAGGCAGCAGTGCCTGGGTGGCTCTGCTGCAGGGCCCCATGTGCAGTACTCTCCCCAAAGAGAGAAGAGGAATGTGGTCTCCACAGGAGACCACGTGTGCTTTAGGGAAATGTATCTTGTTAGACTCAAAGTAAGAAGTGGCTGAACACATTTCAGACTGTAAATAAAACAAATCAGTTTTAGAAAAAAAGTTTCACTGAAAGTGAGGGAGGGGGCCTTGAGCCAGAACTAACCAAAACGTGAGTGTCTTATGACTGCCCAGGACTGCCCTCTTGGAGTCCATCCTGTCTGTGGCTCTGGGTAGCCCCTCATGCCAGGTCTACCCATGGGGGACACCCTCCACAGAACCCAGTGTCCTCACCGAGTAAAGGGAGGACATGGCGTTGTTGAGGAAGTCGTCATCTCTCTTCGGAGGTGGTGGTGTGTTCCCAAACCCCACATAGCGATTCTCCTGGGCCCTAAAAGCAAAGCACCAATAGGGAGCAGCAGCTGGCATGGACCTTGCCACTCCTACGAGCACTGAGACAGAGGCATGACCCAGCCTCTGGAGGACACACCAACTCCACCACAAACAGGACACACTTGTGCACCCATGATGGTGTGAGCCTCCAGCTCTGCCACAGCACATGGACTCCTGCTCTCTCTGCTGGTTTAAAAAGACCCCCCACCACATCACCAGAAGATCCCTAGCAAGGCCCCAGACCCAATAACTGGAGTTACTAGAAGATCAAAATATAGTAGAACCTCTGTAAATGACCACTCAAAGAACTGCAACAAACTGTTCAACACACAGAGGTGGCTGACATAAGGAACCAGACCTGCTATACTCACATGTACACATGAGCATGTCTGGTCTATGGAAATTAAATCAACTTAAGGAGGTCACTGTAGAGAGATGGTCAGTTATAGAAGTTCTACTATAGACAGCTAATCTGACAGTTTCAGAGATAAAAATTCATTTTCAAGTTAGGCAGATTCCAGAAAGAAAATGTGGTATTTTTTAAGTATTGAGTTTTCTCTACACTTAAGACCCCCTGTTCACACCTGGGCTCACCACAGCTGGGCCCCACACAGTACACGTACTGTGTACCTGTGACAGGAGCAGCACATTCCGCCCACCCAGAAGATAGGCCTGATCCCCCACACTAAGCCCTGGGAGGGCTGGGGGACCTCACCCCTGGTAGGAGCCAAGGTCGTCATTCAGCCAGTCTTCAAAGGCCTTGTCAGAGGAGGCAGTCACAGTCTGTGGCTGACCAGGGGCCCTGAAACCAAAGCCAAAGGCTGGTGAGGCCACCGCTCAGTGGAGAGTAAGGCAAGTACTGGGCAGCACCACAGTGGCACTGCCACCCCCAGTGGAACCCTGTGGCCCATATGGGAGGTGCCTCCATACCAAGGAGAGCACCTCGGCCAGGCCAGGCTCTAGCTCCGTGCAAAAGCACTGCAGTTGCTGAGATCCCAGCAACATTCATCCCTAGACACCAGAAAGGGCCTAGACAGAGGGGGCTGTAGCTGCCTTATGGGCAGGGAGGCAGCTGGGAGGGCCCGGCCGAGGCACAAGCAGAGCAAGAACCAGGAGCACCTGGACATGGAACTAGCAGTAGTGAGAGCAGGGCCACAGGGGACAGGGCAGGGTGCTGGGCATCCACTTGCTCACCAGCCTCCCCAGGGAAACTCCCTGCAGTGGGGGCACCATGAGGCCATGGTTCACACAGGTGTGATGCACCATGCATACACCTGCAGGAGAAGCTGTGTAGGGCTGACCCCTGCGGAGTAGGAGGTACTGCTTCAGACACATCTTTACTGGTTGAATCTTTTACAAAAAACTTATAATGTTTCAGCAATTTTAAAAAGCTATTTTCCCCACTGTCTCACAATTTGTGCTGTTAGTATGACAGTACAGAAATCGAGGCTTCCGTGGGAACCCTAACCTATAGCTAAGATCAGGGCCTGATGGGGGCAGAGCTGCGGCTAACTTGCAGGCAGAGAGGCAGCTACCGGTGGGCAGTAGATGGCAGTGTCCTAGGTTGAGGTGGGGTCCAGTTCTGGGCAGGTGAGGATTCCAGAGACCACTCTCTGCCTTCAGCCAGGGTGGCCACCTGACAAAGGGACACAGTAGTTGGCACGGCACTGCCTGGAGCTGCCTGCAGCTGCCTACAGCATGCCCAGCCATGGCCCACCCAGTCACCACTACTAGCAGCCTCCTCTCAGGCTTCAGTGGCTAGTCTCAGACATGACAGGTGTGAATGGCAATGGATGAGCCCCTGATCAATGCTCTCCACTTTCAAACATGCAGGGACCCACTTATTTGGCCTCCATTCTCAGAAGTATTGTAGCCCTTGTGGACTGGCCCCCCAGAAGCTCAGAGACCCCCTCACCCTAGTTAACTACAGGATACTCATTTCCCTCTGGGTATAAGGAGCTGCCCTGCGCCAGGTAAGGGCCAGGGTTCCTGTATGCCCCTGACCACTCCAGACAGGTGTGTCAGGACAATGGGGTATTCCAAATCCCCAAACCATTGAGTACTGGTGGGGACAGCATGGGGGGTGGAGCAGGGCCTGCTGTCACCTTGTCCCTGAAGAGGGCTGCAGCTCTGCTGTTGTACTTCTCCTGCAAGGACCAGCAGGGGTCATAGTCCTCCTGGGCCTCTAGGAAGGCCCGAAACTTGGCATTTCCACCAGCCTTCATCTTCTCCAGCTCAATGTCCTTCCACTTGTCCATAGTGACAGAGCGCACAAAGCTAGAAATCAGAGGACAGACCTAACCACCAAGTCCTGGGACATCCAGGATCCTCGGAGCTGGGCTGTGCTACAGTACCCACTGGCATGGACCAGGACACACCAGACACAGGATCTCCACAGGGCCTGGGCAGCAGACACTGACCTGAGGTGTACCCCGAGCCCGCGGTGTTTCCCGGAGCACTCCAGGCAGATCCAGATGCCGTAGGTCACACTGACCCACTGAGGATTGAATGCACCACACTCAAAACATACCTGCAAAGGGCCACAAATGATTCAACAGGTGGCTCAGGAAAGAGAGCCCAGGACCCCAAGGATCCAACAGGTGACCCCAAGACAGGACAGGTAGCCGACCCAGACCCCGGATTAGAGCAAATAAGCCAACAGGGTTTCTTTGGGGTAGCTGGGGCAAGGGCCAGGATGCAGCATGAAGGGAAAGAGCCTCTCAGGTGATGAAATGTTCAGACGGAAGAGTAGGTGGATATGCCCCTGAGGAATGTGGCAGGAGCTCTGCCCCAACAGCCACCACTGACAAGTACCAGGAGTGGCCTCCTCCTCTGCAGCAGACTGCTCACTCACAGCCCGGCCAGCATAGCCATGCACTCCGAGCTGTGCAAACACTGGCTGTTCCAAGGAGGGGCATATAACATAGCCTGCAAGCTACTTCCCAAGAGGTCAGTGAGCTCGGACCGAAGCCCTGGTGGGAAGCAGATACTCACATTGTTCTCCTCTTGTACCCGGACTTCTTTAAGTACCTTCCTGGTTCTTGGGCTGGCCATGATGCTGCAAAAAAGAAAGACAAACCTTAAACGTACAACAGGTTATGAGAAATAAATTGCTGAGCTGCTTGGGAGAAGCTACAGAGTAAAGATGCTGCCTACTATCGGGGGCAACAGGGACACCTCCTGAAAGGAGCTGCACTCCACACACAGTGGACACTTCCAGGCAATGACCACTGTGATAATTAGGAATGCCATGTAATTATTGGGGTCCCCTGGCTTGGTACCTGTAGCTCAGCAGCTAGGGCACCACCTACATACACCAGAGCTGGCAGGTTTGAATCCAGCCCAGGTCTGACAAACAATAATGACAATTTCAACCAAAAAACCAGCCAGGTGTTGTGGCGGGCACCTGTAGTCCAGCAATTTGGGAGGCTGAGGCAAGAGAATGGCTTAAGGCCAAGAGTTTAAGGTTGCTGTGAGCTGTGATGCCACAGCACCCTACTGAGGGTAACATAGTGAGACTGTGTTAAAAAAAACTGTTGGGGTCCCCTTTGCTCAAGCATTACGTGCCACCACAGAGTGGTTTACAAGTTTTGTCTTTACTGATAAAATCCACAACAAGTGCAGTTGGTCTTCCCAAAGCACACAAACCTTCCACCTACAAGGAGACACACCAGACTAGGGCTGGTCACTCTCGAGGACTCCGCACCCTAGCATCAGGTCACCTGCCCACATGGTGTAGGGTGGGAAGAAACAACTCCTGCCTGCTATGTGCGCAGATCCAGCCTACTGGGGCACCTGTGGGTGGCTCACTGGTGGGCTACCCTGAGATATGGAGGTCAGGGGTCCTCAAACTTTTTAAACGGGAGGCAAGTTCACTGTCCCTCAGACCTTTGGAGGGCCGGACTGCAGGCCCTGGGATGAGTCGGCTGCTAAGCAGGACAGGCAGCAGCGTCAAAAACACCCGGCGGGCCAGATAAATCGCGGGCCATAGTTTGAGGACACCTGCACTAGATGGTGTGGGCAAACAGGATAAGGACTGTGTCCTACAGGCCATCAGGCCCACCACGATGATTCACGGGGATGGGGTGGTGGTGGCGGCAATGAGGCTCTGGGATTCCTCACAGATCTTCTGACTCTAGCAGAGCTCAGCTTCAGCTGACAGCCCACAAAACCCACAGCAAGGAAAGCCAGTAGGATAAAGAGTCAAAATTGGGAAAGAGAGTGCTGCCAACCCCAGTGTCAGGTGTGAATGATGCACACAGTGGCGTTTGTGGCCATGGGAACTGGCAGACAGCCCACAGGCCCAGCACACACTGCCACTGAGCAGACTGGGTGCTGGCTCTCTGAAGCTCACCAATTGTCATGACAAATGGAGTGGTGGGTGGGCTGTCCTGCTACTCACACAGAAACACATGCTACGTGAAGAACACAGCACTGAGCGACAGGAAGCTGGACACGTGTACACTGCTGTCCCATCCAGGGTCAGACCCACCTCCTCCATGGCTGTGTTTAAGATGACTGCTTAGACCAGTTTAAGATGATGTAGGTGGAGCTTCATGCTGATGTGTGGCTTAAAAAAAAATCAGAAAACCCTCTGTGCCACACTTCATCTTCATCTTCCAAATGCAGAGAGAAAGTATTCATTGAGGGAGTCTGGGCTCTCCACACAACCAAACCTTTTGAATCTTAAAGCCCATGACCCTTAATCTTCACTAGTACCCATGTTCAAGCTATTGGGAGTTAGTAAATAAACACTTATTCTCTGTGTCATGCATTCCAGCACCCCAAAGCCACAGATCGTGAGGTGAACGCCTGAGAGTTCCTGCAGGAGTTGGCGTAGCATCACCCATTCAGCAGGAATACAGCCATCCACTGAGCCTCCACATTCACTAAAGCCAGGAAGGGGCAGAGAGCAACACTCTGGGTTTGAGTTCATAAAGCCCTCTGGACACATTCTTCTCACAGCCACACGGGGGGCCTGTGTGGAGCTGGTGCAGATGCAGGCTGTGAACAAACCAGGGCCTGTGCAGAGCAGGTGGTCCACCCACAGTCACGGCTGCCAAGCTGCACTAGACCATTCCATGCCTCCACTCTCAGCCCTGTTTCCACATCACTACCTTACTTCAGGGGCTTAAGACTTGGTCAAAAGACACATGCACACAAAGGTCAGAACTCTGATGAAAGTGCTCTGAATCTCTGTGTAAAATAAAGCAGAGAATATTCACAGAACCACTGGAGAGAGGAAATGTGTGAAAAGTGAATGACTTGGCATGGATTTTAAAGGAACTCCCCCATATGACCAATTTTGGATGTTCAAGAGCCCTAGTTCCCTGAAATACTAAGTTTAAAAACAAGAAAACACCTCCTAAATTTCAAAAGCATAAATAACATTTATCTTGAAAAATAATCCAAGAATTCTCAACACCCAACCAACATGATAAAAGCTTATATCCTTCTGTAAGCAGACACAACTTCAGTAAATGCTGACCCAAATGAGGACACTTTTTCTTAGTTCATTAAGCCATTTGTTAGACTACAAAATGTTAAGTCCTTAAGTCAGAACACATTCAACATGAGACATCAAAAGAGATTTAAAGACGTTGCTCAGTACTCAGGGCAGTAACACAGGTAACAAGTAGACAGACTGTCTCTGTCAGAAACGGTTCAAAGCACCAAGAATATCCATGTCTAAGAACAACAGCTCTTTCTCCTTCTAAAACATACACTATTTCTGAGCTTGGCACGGATATGGTCCCCAAAAGAGATGCCAAGACAAACCTAGAGGTGTGTTACTCAGACATCACTAAGAGCACCATTTTGCTGATATCGCTAACAGCGTGTCAGGAATATTCGGCCTGCAGAACTATTCCTCAGAGTTGGTGGTTTGTGATCAAGTTTTTAACAAAGCAGAAAGGATACACAGCTCTTCTAACCCACGTAAACTGAAAAAAAAATTGAAAAGCCCATTCCTGGTTTCCTTTTCTCCCTCCCCCAAGATGATCATCCACGTCAAAGGGTAAGCAGGAAAACAAAGCGAGCTGCGCTCTCCGATAGGGCTGGCCGCACTGCCTCCCGCGGGACAGAGCTGTCACTGCGCAGGGTGCGACCCGACGCGGCTTCAGAGGGGCCCGACTGGGCTCTGCATCCAGGTCCGAGGAGCTCGGGAATGGTGCCAAGACGCCCTAGTAGGGCCCAGCTCACCCTGTGGGGATGTTGGTAGGAACCCCGTAACAGATAAAGGTCTCCAGACCGGGGGGGGGGCGCGGAGGCAGCCGCGTAGGCAAGAATGGAGGCGCCCGGGGCGGGGACAGCCCTGCGGGGACGACGGGGAGGTTCCTCGACCATGGTCCCGAGGCCTAGAGCCGAGGACAGCTGGAGAGAGCAAGGTGGACTCAGGCAGACCCTGCGGGAGCAGCCCAGGCGGGGGCGGCTGCGGCGCGGAGGGCCGCGCCGGTCTGGAGGCGATGCCGCGTCTGCACTACCGAGCCGCGCGCTTACCTGGTGGGCGGGGCGGCAGGCCGGGCCGGGATCGGATCTGGTCGGGCCGGGGTCCGGTTGGGCCAGGGCCGGGCCGGGGTCACGCCGCGGAGCTGCACAGAGACTGCGCGCTGGTCGCCCACCGGCCGCCACCAGCTTCCGGCTACGTTGCACTTCGCAAGGCCTCACGGGAGCTGGCGGGGGCTGGCAGGGGCGGAACTTCCGCCTCGGCTTAGAGGCCGGAAGCAGCGCGGACGGCGGTTACCGTGGAGACGCGGCGGATCCGGTGTCCAGCGCTTCCGGCGCTGAGGTTGCGCAGTCGCGCCGCGGACGTCGCTTCTGGGAAGGATTGAGAGGGGAACTCGGATTTGTCTTTAATTTTGCTCTTCTGTGTGCCGGATGTGCTCCTCATTGGTCGATGTGACTTTAGAAATCGTGAAGAATAAGCATTTCATCGAGGAACTGCCCACATGCGGTAACAGGTGCAGTTCAGAGGTTTGGCGGGTGCCTGGGGGCCGAGCGTTTCTGCGGCTTGGTCTCTTGGTCCTGGACTCCCTGTGAAGACCGGGGTGGGGGGTGAACGTTCGCCTCTGAGCTGTCCAGCCGGCCTGGGTCTGGTGGCCCCGCAGAACCAGCAGGTTGGGCTGAGTCACAGGGAGAGCAAGGAGCTGGGTGCGGGAACGAGGCGGCATAGCGGAGAGAAGGGGGAACTTTACTTAGAGGTAAGCAGAGGCTTTCCAGAGAGTGGGACGGGGCCGCCACACCGAGGCAGCTGGTCAGTGCATCCACTGCGATCCCAGCTCCTCCCAGATCCTTCCATATGAATTCCTGCTGGCCCCTCTCAGTTGTGGATGGCTTCAGTTTTCATATAAACCCAGTTTTCTTTATTCTGTATCAATAATTATAAATTGTTTTTTACCAGTGATAATATGATGGTGTCTGTTAGTCTTGTGATGTTCGTGGCAATTATGGTGTGCATTGTTCTATGCTGGGGATACTTATCTTCATTTTATGGGGGTATCATTATCTTTGGTTTTTGTCACAGGCTAGAGGTCCTGGGTCACAGGCCAGAAATCATGATTTACAGGAACAGCACATACTTGGTTAAATAGGTCACCAAATTCCTCATTTCACTTAAGGGCCCTCACCACCTTTCTGATCCAGAAGAATTCTCTCCCACCTCCCTTTAATCTCCTTCCATACCTAATCCGAGAGAATCATGCAAAATGTTTTTTCTCAGAATGCCTCTTTCACTTAATGTGTTTGAGATTCATCCATGTTGAGTGTGTGTCAACAACTGGTTCCTTTCCATTGCTGAGTGAACCTAAAAGTGAAATTTCTAGGTGATAGGGTAGATATAGATTGAATGGTTTTCCAAAGTGGTTGTAACACTTTATGCTTCCGCCAGGAATATGGCAGTCCCAGTTGCTCCCCATCTTTGTTGACACTTAACATTGGCCGTCTTTTTATTGTGGCCAGTCTAGTGAGTACAAAGTGATATCCTTGCAATTTATTTGTACTTTTCTCCGTGATAATTTAGAAGCTCCCCTGGGCATGCTCAACTTCCAGCCTGCCCAAATGAGCACCCTGCAGCCAGAGGAAGCCCTTGGGAGAGAGTCACCAGTTCTTGTGTAACCACAGATTGGCCCAATCTAGTTCAATTTTGTGTAATAAAACAGTGAGTTGTTTTTCAGTTGCTGTGAACCCCAAGGTTGCAGGTCACATATGCTGAGCATGCCTAGATGGACCAGTGGGCCTGATTTGTGTCCCAGAGCTAGTGGGACCTAAAAAATCAATCACAGGAGGAACCAGAGTTCTCAGATTTGAGCAACAGGGACTGAATTAAACGAACCTCGGATTACCTCCTGGCATGCTCCAATCAGATCCTTTTCATTACCCTCCACCTATAAAACCTGCCACAGCCTCCAGCGGGCTGGCCGGGGTGGGAGGGGGTCAGATTTGAGGATTGCCTGCTGTGTCCTTGTCAGCTAATTTGCAATAAAGCTTTGCTTTTCTCAAAAGCTGGTGCCATGGTGTTGGCTTCTGTGTGTGTTGAGCAGCGAGTGGCTTGCTCAGTAATACTTGCAGTAGGAAGCTATTGCTGTGCACAGAGATGGGAAGGCTGAGGGCTGTGCACAGGCACCAAGAGCATTGGCACCAGGGGCGATGTGAACAGTGTAGATTTCAGCACAAAATCCTGTAGGTGGGACAGTATAGGCTGTGTGAGTTCAGATAGTGGGAGCCATGTGCTTATTAGTCTCAGAGGGCTTCCTGAAAGAAGCAGACTATGAAGGAAAAGAAGTTGAAAAGGAAAGGCATTCCTGGAAAGAGCACAGCTGGAGCCAACATCTGGCATCAGGTGACCAAACAACCAGTGCAAGGTGAGCTCCCTGTTCTGATTCTAAGACAAAACAGTCGTGGTGCTTCCTGGTCAGCCAGTCCCAGCCAGAGGCCTGGGTCTGCTTGTCCCACAGCAGGACCTGGGGCCCTTCCCAGAAAATTCTCAAGGTTCATACAGTGACCAAGTAACAGAGGGGAGAAAATGCCCAATAACAATGGCAGAATCTGGGAAATAAAGCGATGGATGGTACAGAACACACAGCTGCAAACTGAGAATGTTTTACTACTCCAACTAAAGTATTCAGATAATTTGTTTTTCTTTTAGAACCCCCGGGAGTCCATTAATTTTCAGTCATAGTAATGTCATCTGTACGGTTTCCACCCCTAGGTTCTTGAAGTTCTCAGTGTGTATAAAATTGAGCAGATTAATACAAAGACAGTGAAATGAAAACATCAAAGTAATGGCCGCACAAGGCAGGGGGGTCTTGGCACCAACATGTGAGTGAGCAGGCATGAAGCTGCTGTAGTCCAGGCAGGGTCTAGGTCACCTGTGAAGTCACCGTGGGACAAAAAGCAATCCATTGCCTCTCCCTGGACTCCGTCTTCCCATCTGTGAAATGGGATTCTCTCTAATTTCCCTTTTAAGCCGGGGGCCCATACTTCCTAAGCACTCACCATAGTGGAAGCCCTGGGCTTTATGAAGATCTCATTAAAACCTCATGGCAACCATGCATGCTGTTTCTGACATGAACCTATTGTTAGATGAGGAAACTGAGATACAATTCAGTGATTTGCCCAAGGTCGAGAAGCCAGTAAGTAGTAGAGCCAAGGTTTGTACCCAGATGTCTATGAGGTCAGAGCACCCTCCTACCCTGGCAATGCAGGTGGTGTTAGGAAGTGCCACCATGGTATCTAAGTGTGTAGTTGCAGGCCAGTGGCCAAAACCTCAAATATTACAAGATCAGTGGGCACCTTGAAATGACTTCTGACCCCATCCACTGGCCAGGGTCCCAGGGCATCAAAGAACCCTAGTCTCCCCTGGACTCAGCTCAGCTCAGAGCCCACAGCCTACCCCGAGGGGTGTTAAATATAGCACTGAAGGAGTGCCTGGGGGCACGTGGGCCCTGCTGGCTTCTAGGGAGCAGTCAGACCCCCTGAGGTTCCACAGACACACCCAATCCCTGTTGCTTCTGAGCACTGTTAGGAGGAAAGGGTTGGAGGTCACCAGCAGGAATAGGGCGTCCTCCGTCAAACCTGGCTCCTACACAGGCATCTGGAGTGCAGCACAGTGCCTGTCTGGACTCCTCCCACCCAGTACCACTCCCACACCCAGGGGATACCCTAACCCTAACCCATCCGCTGACAGGCTGTCTGGTGGGACTTGTCCCCTTGTGTCTGGCCTTTGCCCTTTGCTGCCCTGAGCTCTGTTAGTCACAGGAAGTTGGATGCACAGGACTCATGGCATCCCCTTCTCCAGAGTCACATGGCAGAAGGTCCCCTCACCTAAGAGGTTATGTCCTGCCCAGGCTTAGCCAATGACTGACAGGGGCAAGGGACCCCTTGTCAAGGGTGGAGCTGTGCTCTGGAGCCGCTCTGGGGTTGGACTCTAGCAGGGAGTCCCTCCTGGCCCAGCCCCCTCACACCTCCCTCACCTTTCTCCTGGGAGCACACCTATGGACTAAATGCCGGTGTCCCTGAAACTCATATCTGGGAATCCTAATCCCCAATGAGATGGTGTTAGAAGGTGATGCCTTCAGGAGGTGGTCAGGTTTTTTCTTTTCCTTTAAAAAATAGGGTTTTTTAGAGATAAGATCTCACTGTTACCCACACAGGGGTACAGTGGTGTGATCACAACTCACTGCAGCCTTATCTCCCAGGTTAGAGCTATCCTTCCCCCTCAGCCTCCTGAGTAGCTGGGACTCAAGCAAGTGCCAGCATGCCCTGCTAATGGTGACTAGATCTTAGGGGCAAAGCTCTCATGAATGGGCTAAATGCCCTTATTAAAGCAACCCTAGAGGGACCATAAATGGGGAGGCTTAGAGCAACAGACATCGATTCTCTCCTAGTTCTGGAGGTTAGAAACCCAAAATCCAGGTGTCAACAGGTCAGTGCCTTCCAGGGCTGTGAGGGGAAGCTGCTCTGCCCTCCAGCCTGTGGACATGCAACCCCCAGCCTCCATCACTAAGTGGCCTTCTCCTGTGTGGATATCTCAGGTGCCTTAGCCTTTGTCTTGGTAGGACACTAGCCACTGGCATTAGAGCTGGTCCTAATCATTTGACCCCAGCTGAATCACATCTGCATCAGGCCCCGCTTCCAGGTTTTGGGGTTAGGACTTGAACATGAATGTTTGGGGATACAGCTCCCCCATAGCAGCTAAAGAGAATTCCTCAAATGCATATATGTGGATCTAGACCCTGAAGACTGAAGTTGTAAACCACTGTCCCTGAGAGGGGCCGAGCCCAGTCCCTGTGTAAAGTGGAGTGCAGTGTTGCCATGGTGAGTGGCAAGGATTCAGGTCAGGCCACGGAGAGACACCCCCCCACCCCCCGATCAGGGATTGGCATCCCCCAGGAGGAGAATTATGTGTCTCCTGACAGGCTGGTGGGACTTGTCCCCTTGCCCTCTGCTGCCCTGAGCTCTGTTGGTCACAGGAAACCAATGGAACCCAGGCTCAGTAGCCGAGAAGACCCAATGCTATCCTGGAGCCTGGGGGTGTGCTCCTGGTGAGGCTGGCCTCACACAAGCCTGTCCAGCCAACCAGAGATTCTCCAGCCCTTCCTGGAGCTAAGAAGCTGCTGCCTCGTGTGACAGAATCAAGCTCTGCTGTCATCTCCGGCCCTGCTCAGAGTGGTAGAGAATAGCCGCCCAGGTGCTGCTCCTGGGCCTGGGCAATGCTGCTTTCGTACTATGCTGCTTTCCTGAGCCAGGCAACCTCTCTGTGCCTCAGCTCTGGTGTCTATAAAGTATGCATGGTCCTGGTACCTTCCTCAAAGCACTGATGGAGAGACTCAGTAGGAAAGGTAGCAAAAGCTTAGTGGAGTGTGTGGGAGGCATGCAGTTGGCATCTGGCAGTGTGGTCTCCACCTCGGGGGCCAGGGGATGCAACCTCAGGGACATCTGGGGTACCAGAGGAAACCAGTCAGGTCTTAAGTTTCCCTGTATTTCCCAGGCACACAGAACGGTGTCAGCTCTGTGCCTGAGTGGGTGCTAGGCTTATAGGATGGAGGTTCTGTGGCCAGCCGGGCATGCAACACACAGGCAGCCCAGCCAGCCTTGGACCTTCAGGCTCCCTCTCCTGCTTTCATTGGTGCTAGGGGGAACCAGGTGGGCAATGTGGGGGCTGCCCACATGGCAAGGAGCCATCCCGGGTTAGGATGACCCCTCCTACCACACTTGCTCTATGAGGCAAAAAGGGGGTCTTGATCACCCAAAATGTGTAGGGACCCAGATGTGTCCCTCTGCAGGACAGAGAGCCTTTGTGGGGCACACATCAGCCTCTGGCATTAGCCAGAACAGAACAGATAAAAGTTCTAAAGGTTGGGCAGGATGTGCTTCTTGGGGAGCCACAGGAGGGGGCATCCATGCCAGGTGGGGATATGGAGCCTCCTGTTGCCTCCTGTCCTTATCAGGATTCTCTTTAATGAAAGGTGGGTTTCTAAATTCCATCAGCTCATCAGCTCAGAGCCCCACTGCTGTTTTCTGGGAAGGTGCAGACAGGCAAATGTCTCCATGGGTCCTGCCCAGGCAGGGAGAAAAGGCAATGACAGGAGAGAACCAGCTAGAGGAGGCTGAGCTGGGGAGGATGGGCTTTGGCGGGGGTGGGGTGGGGGCGCTGTCTGGAGCTCAGACAGTGGATGGGGAAGGCAGCTGGAAGCCAGGGTGCAGGCAGGGCCGTGGCAGGGGCAGGGTGGTGTCCGGGCTGAGAGGGGCAGCTTCACTGACAGAGCTCTCCAGAGCACCGCCTGCATGTTCAGCACCACGGCCAGTGCCCAGATGGCCCCCAGAGCAGGCTCTTTGGGAAACAGTGCCTCAGAGGAGGATTCCTGGTCCCTGACTCATCCTGAAAACCTGATTTCCAGGAAAACAGCTGCTGACCAGCTTGTGCCAGAATAGGGTGGAAGCTCAGGGGCACAGAGCCTGGGTGTGGAGACCTTTTAAAGGAAGGGTGTGGGGCCAGGCATGTAGAGGAAGACTCTAAGACCAGGTGGTTAAATAAGACCCTCAGAGTCAGGGGCTGCGTATCCAGAGGGGTGTTCAGGAGACCCACTTCCTTCCACCAGCCCCTGTGGAAGGAAGTCAGTCCCCAAACCGCTGCCCCTGGCTGCTCTCCTGTCTACGTATCCCCTGATGTGCCAGGGTCAGTAGCACAGAAGTAGTGCCCTCAGAAAGGGCTTGGGAGGGATGCATGCTGTTGGGCCACATGGGCACCCCTCCCTGAGTCTTGCAGTGGTGGACTCTACTCTGGTCCAGAGGGATTTGGGAACAGGGCTACTAACTCCAGGGGAGGGTCTAGGAATGTGGCCCTACTTGCAGGGGCAACCCTGCAGAGAACCAGAGAACAGACTCTCCTTCCTCCCATCTGCTGGTCTCCCCGCTGGCCAGTTCAGTCCGATGCTGGGTGCTGTCTACACTGCTGGCCTCTTGTAGGGCATGGTGAGAGGGTCTGCTGAGACGATGGAACAGCTTGAGTGCTGCTGTCTGGACCTCGCTCACCGTGGCTGGGCCTGACTGTGTGGCACAGCACGTTGACGTCCTGTGCTGTGTGGGAGGCACATGAGGCTGGAGTTCCCCCTTGCTTGTCTTTGCTTTTGGCTAGTTTTCCATTCTGCTGTCAGTTCCATTGTCCAGGTTCTGTTTTATTGTGTCTTGATTTCATTCAATTGACTTAATTGCTGGGTTTCACCCATCTCCTCTCTACCATGTCAGTGAAAAGCTATCCAGCCTCTTGTCCAGATGGGCTACTTGTAAGTACGACCCCCTCCCCAGAGCCTATTCCACAACCAGCCCGCTGTACTGGCACTCCTGGCTTGAAGCTCCTTTCCTTGGGGCCTCCCAGGCATCCGTCTGTTGTCCATTCACCCATCTACCCACTTCTAATATCTCCTTGGTGCCAGGCTCCAAGTGGGCACTGGGGCTCCAGCTCCTGGCTCCTACCCTAGAGCTCAGGGACCAGGAGAAGCAGGGTCTTTGTGACACAGCTCTGAGCCAGGGGCTGCAGGAGCCACCCAAAGGCCTCTGACAGCTGGCAACCCAATGACTTACCCAGGGTTCTCACTGGGACAGCAAATTTGGGGCATCAACTCCCTGTCTTAAGAACCAGCTTCTTCTTTCTTTTCTTTATTTTTATTTTATTATTTTTTTAAGACAAAGTCTTACTATGTCACCCCCAGTAGAGGGTCATGGTGTCACAGCTCACAGCAACCTCAAACTCTTGGGCTTAAGTGATTCTTTTGCTTCAGTCTCCCTAGTAGCTGGGACTATAAGCACCCACCACAATGCCTGGCTATTTTTAGAGACAGGGTCTTGCTCTTGCTCAGGCTGGTCTCCAATTCCTGAGCTCAGGCAATCTACCCCCCAGGTGTGAGCCACCATGCAGTGCAGTCCCCAGGCCTGGGGCAGGTGAGGCTGGGCTCCTGGCTCACCTCCTCAGAAGGGCCTTGGCCACATAGCCCTGCCCTGCACATGGTCCCATTTGGGGTCAGGGAGTCAGGCAAGGTTGCCTTCTCCAGTAAAGTTGCACTGTCCCGGGGCCACCCAGCCCTAGAGATACCTGAGGACACATGTCCTAAGGATAAAGGCCCACTGAGGCAGGGACCATCCAAGTTAGCAGGAGTCTAGCTCCCGTGATGGAGAAGCTCACACAGGCATCCCCAAGGCCTAGCCCCAAGCCCAGCTCCCCATGGCCTCCCTGCACTTTGTGGCCAAAGCCAGCAAACAGGGGCAAACCTGCTCTGTGCTGGACAGGGGAGGCCTGGCTGGGGCTCTGGAGGATTAGAGTTAAGGTTTGGGTAACCCCTTTCTCCCAGAAGCCCAGAGCCCTCCCTGTCCTGGACTGTGCCCGACTTGAATTTCCAGTCCCCCAAGGGGCCATCCATGGCCCTGCCCAGGTCACTGCCCTTCCTAGTGGTCTCTGACCTGGCCTTGCCACGCAGGCTTGTGTAAGTGAGGGAGCAGCCAGATCCACCCCTACTACATCCAACCTCGGCGACCATAGACCACCATGACACAGCCCACCTTCCCAGTCCTCCCTACAGATTCATGTGCTTGACACCAACAGAGCAGAGGGCGGGGCCTGGCCCAGACTTACAAAAAGTTTGTCATTTCCTTTTTCTTAAAAAAAAAGGAAAAAAGGAAAGACACAGAAGAAAAGGCTCTGGAAACCCCATGTTCATCTGCCCTGGTAGCACCAACAGTGGGCCTGGCCCTGCTGCTGCTGCTGGGGGGAGGCGGGAAAAGTGTCACCACCAAGACCTCATCAGCAAAGGCCCTATCTGCCCCAGGAGCTAAGGCTGAATCAGGGTGGGGCTGGACCCCTTCAAGCTGTGGGCTTGGTGGGTAGCCAGGCCCTTCCTGGTGACATGGAAGGAGGACTTGGGCAAATGGTCCCCCCAAACCCCCAGAGATCAGGAGCTGATAAATGAAAAGAGGAGGGGCCCAGGCTGTTCCATTCCAAAAGTTCTTAAGACACAGAAAAAGTAAGAATGGTGGGCGCTGCCTGTGGTTCAGTGGGTAGGGTGCTAGCCCCATATACTGAGGGTGGCATGTTCGAACCCGGCACTCGCCAGCTAAAGCAGCAATGACAACTGCAACAAAAAAAGTGCCAGGTGTTGTGATGGATGCCTGTAGTCCCAACTACTCAGGAGGCTGAGGCAAGAGAATTGCTTAAGCCCAAGAGTTGGAGGTTGCTATGAGCTGTGATGCCATAACACTCTACCGAGGGCGACAGAGTGAGACTCTATCTTTAAGGAAAAAAAAAAAAGGATGGGGAAGGAGTTGGAAAGAGAGAATGGACTGTGACCTCTGGGGAACAGGGAGGTGCTGGGCCCTGTGCAGGGGAGAAGCCCCCACTTTATTTATATTCTGAAATATCCACACATGGGAACACCAAATCCACCCCCATACCCATCAGGGCTTCCTTCTCTGTCCTGGGCTGCAGTCCGGGAACAGGTGGGTCAGGGCTATCCTCAGTGGAGCCCTGCATGGTCTGGACTGGCTGAGAGGGGCTGGGTGCTGCAGCTGGAGGGACAGAAGAGGAAGGGTGAGTGTCGTTCACAGGGACTTGTTCACTGCCCAAAGCTCTATATGCCTGGGGACAATCACAGTCCTTTGAGAGGCTACAGGGATCATTGCAGGGGCATTCCACCTGCTTCTCTGGCAGTTGACATCTCTCCACCCACGCATGTCCCAGATCTTGGCACCATGTCCCTGACCTGGGCCAGCCTGACAGCCCTTCCTGTGTTTCCCTGCACATGTCTGAGGCCATCCCCCTGTCCCAGCCCGGCTGTCACCCTGTTCCTGGCTCTACTGGGGTGTGGTCCCCGCAGGACTACTGAGGGAACTAAAGGTAGAGGAGCCAACAGGACAGGTTTTGCTCTGCACAGCAGAAGAGCGTGGGGCACTTACCTGTCCTAGGACAGGAAGGTGCGCACACGGCTGTGGACGGGGGTCCGGCAGATGGGACACAGTTGCAGGCTGGGGGCGCATTCCACACAGGCCAGGTGGCCGCAGGGCACAAAAACCACAGCCACAGCCCTGTCCAGACACACCTTGCACATCCTCTCCTCCTGCAGCTGTTGCAGCTCCTGTGCCACGGCCCCAGCTCCTAGGGGACCGAGAGCCCACCACACACTTGGCCTGGGTTCAGCTGGTTTCTTTAAGGGGGACAGGCCCAGGAAGTTTGCAGGCCCAGCCCTCACCCTCCATAAGGCCAATGAAGAGAGGTGGGCTGTGGTGCCGGCTGCCCCCCGCCCCAGCCCCTGCCCCTAAGGAGGCCTCAGCCCTGCACCTGGTTCTGGGGCACCTTCAGTCTGGACCTCTCTTCTGGGTATGAGCGGCTCAGGGTCCCTGTGGACAGGAGCTGTGGGCAGTTAGGAATGGATCTAGGTCTGTCCTCCAGGAGAAAGCAAGGCCCAGCCCAGAGACAGGCCCAGCAGCTGATGAGGTCTGGTCCCCACACAGAGGAGGCATGATGTCAGTGCCCTTGCTGCTATGCTAGCCATGATCCTCCCCACAGCACACACAATCCAGAGGCTTCCTGGAGGAGTCACCAAAGAGCTGCCCCTTGGCCAGGGCACTCTGCCTATCCCACACCGCTTGGGCAGTAGCCATAGGCACTTGTGCTGGGCACTATTGGGGGCGGTGAGGCCAGGGGAGGAGTAAGATGCAGATGGGGTGATGGGGCAGAAGCCCCTCTGGCCCTGGTGCCCCACACCCATCCTCAGGCTATGAAGCAAATCCCCACAGTAGCTTTACACCCACTGATCAGGAAGCTTCCGCCCTCCCTGATGTCAGCCCCAGCTACAGCACAGGCTGCAGGTGCCTAGAAATAGCGCAGGCTGGCATCACAGCCCTCACCTGGCAGGGTGGCAAGGTTTGTGGCTTCTGGCTCTTCCCATCGGTCCTAGAAGGAGCCTTGAGTGAGCAGACCCCCACTACCACCACCACCCAGAGACCTCAGGGAAGGCAGAACTCACCCAGGCCCCCAGCATCCGGGAGCGAGATTCCTGGACACTGTGTACAAAATCTCTTCCCTTTGACTGGAGCAAGAACTGACACCTGTGGACAGTGGGTTCCCATGGAGAGTGGACTAGGATTGTCAGAGCCCCCCAGTCAGGCTCAAGCCCATGGAGGGTCCTGCCCTCCTCTCCTGCCCACTTTGGAGCCAGCCTGCACAGAGCATTAGGAAAGCGTCCTGGAGCCCCCAGCCTTTCCAGAGAGGGGCTCCTGCAAGGAGCCAGCCTGCTTGCCACCGGCCTGCCTGCTGCAGACTTAAGAACACCATGGTCATTACCTGGGGAACCACTTCGCGTGCTCAGTCCAGGGGTCATCCCCTGGCTTCCAGCTCTGCAGACCTCCATAACAGAAGAAGCACCGGACCTTGTCCTGTTGGCCTGGGGTACGGCAGAGATGCTGACCAGCTCATGGCCCCTAGAGTGGCCCCTCTAGGGCTGAGAGCTAGGGTGGGGAGTGGGTGAGAGGATAGTTCCTGGGGGGCTCCCCTGAGGGGCTGGGTGAGGTGTTTCACGTGTACCTCACTGGTGCCAAAGGTGGAATAAGGATAACAATGTTGGGCAGACCGAGAACGTTCTGGAAAGGATTGAGCTGGCATTCCCATTGTCCACAGAGCCAGTGGGTGGGGCAGACCTCCAGCACCTGGAATGCCTGCAGCCCTGGAGCTTCAAGGACACAAGGGGCCCTCCCCAGGTCACACCTCCCCAAGACAGATTTTCAGCATAAGGAAGGGGGCTGCCCTCAAATGCCAGTCTGGTACCTGGCTTGGCTTCAGAGATTCCTTCTGTGGACAGGGAACCCTGTCCTGGAGGACCATGCCTCCTTATGTGGACAGGGGACCCCACTCCTGGAGACCCCGCCTCCTTGCACACAAAATTATGGGGCTCAGGGTTCCATATAGGGCTGTTGCCTACACAGGTGACACCTTCCTCTAAGCCTGCCCTGGACTGTCCTGGCCCAGAACCCTGTGCCTATGGGCCCCCTGCCCAGTCTAGGGAGGCAGGTGAGCTGGGGCTGTCCCTTCACTAGACAGCTTAACCATTTCAGCTACTGAGCCCCAGCTGCCTTGTGTGGGTCTGGCCCCTTTCCAAGACAGGGCCTGGACTGACTCCCAAGCCCATTGGTGACTATGACTGCCACAGTGCCAACACTTACAAAGCTCCACAGGGTCCTGTTGCCACCCCTTATCCTGGTAGGGGCAGAGCCAGGCCCCAGGCTCAGGCGTGACCACATGGGGCCCCAGCTGTGGGGTGAGGTGTAAGCCAGAGTCACAGCTAGAGCAGTGCTTGAGGGTCTGTGTTCAGAGCCTAGAGAAACTGCCTATAGGCTGAGTGGTCACCATGGCTGTGCCCAACATCTGCCAGCCCTGTGGACCTAGGCAGTGTTGGCTCCACCTGCCTCCCTCACAGAGGGTGCTGGGGAGCCCTGGCCAGCAGGGGTACGAGCATGGCCACAGTGGCAGGCCTTGAAGCTGACAACCCCAGGCTATGGCCTGCAGAAACACCAGGAGAGGCAGGCCCTAGGACATGCCACAGACAGGCTGTAGGACCTCCAACTTCTGTGGGGGGATGGGTGCATGGAGAAGGCAACACCCTGGCCTAGAAGGGTCCTGGAATAGTGTCCAGGTCCATAGCAGAAGCCCCAAGACTCACCTGTGTGGAAGAAGCCAGCAGCAGCTAGAGGCTCAGGCGGCACCCCTGCGGTCAGGGGCCAGTCATAGAAGGAGGCCAGCCGCATGTCCTCAGAGCCCATTCCAGGGAAGGCAGGCAAGGTGGCCCCAGCCCCCTCTTCCTCTTCCTCTTCTGCCAAGGAGTGTAGCAGACCCAGGATCTGCCCATCCACGTGGTCCCGGGCTCCCCAGCCGCCCCGGGTCAGGACGTGGCCACACAGAGAGTGGAGTCTGCAGTGTTCCTGTGTGGGATCATGGTCAGCTGCCCAGCGGCTCAGCTCTGGGCCACAACACAAGCACTTGGCCCTGTCTTCGGGGCCCATGGAAGAAACACCAGCTTTGGCCAGGTCTGCTGCAGAGATGGGCCTGGATGGCCAGTTCTGGAATATGTCCAGTCAGCCTGTCACTGGCCAGATCACATGTGCACTGCAGCTAGAGCAGGTCATGGGGCCCTGGTGTGGACTGCAGCGAGGGTAGCGGTGGGGGCTGTAGGTCCCGCTCCACTCCATGGGGCAGGCAGTGTCTCCTGGAGCAAGGGGATACTACAGACTAAGGAGGCCCCTCCCTGGGCATCCCCCGAGGATCTGGGGGATGAGGGCAATGTCAGTCCCAGGGCTGGGATAGGGGCAGCCTCTAGAGCAGATCATTAATGCCCAGGTCCAGGACAGACAAGTGGCCCAGGGGGTAGCAACCCTTGCATGTGCCCAGTGCTAGCCAGGTGGGTGACCTGGGCCTTCTCCTGAACCCTTGGACTGGAAGAGGCCTCTGTAGGTCTGGGAGGGCTCTTGTCCTTAGGCAGTGAATGTCCCAGTTGCCCCCTCCCCTTCCCTTTCTCCTCTGCCCCGCCTTCACTCCCTTCTTTCCCCTGCTTCTTTTCTCCCCTCCCTCCCCTTTCTTTCTCTCTTCTCCCCTGCTCTCCCCTCTTACTCTCTCTTACATTCCCCATTTCCCTTCCTCTAATTCAGCCTCCCTGGGTAGCCAAGAGGAAGGCTCTGATGTCCCAAAGTGGAACTGGCTTTGGTTTTAGTATTCCTGAGGTCTGCTATGGCCCAGACATCAAGGACATTTATGGAGAGGCAGTCCTGATGCTCCAGGCAACTGGACCACCCATCCCATCCCAGCCCCCTGGGACACTGTGGGGACTTCTGGGACAGACCCACTTTGCTCCAATGTCTGCCCACTTCCCCTGGGCCTGGCCCCTGGACTCCCCTACCCTGCAAGGGATGGCCCCGGGCCAAATAGCCCAGGGTGCCCAGGATCTTGGTCTGGGAGAAGCCCCATCCCAAGGGAGCCCATGGTGGTGTCTGTGCTTGCTCCAAGACAAAGCCACTGTCCTGAAGGCAGCTCCTACCTGTCTCCCACCCTGAGGGGGCTTTGCCTCATACCTGGTCCTGGCCACTTGGGCCCCACCAGCCAGCCCAAGCTCATGTGCTCCAGCTCCCAGGTGGGCAGAGTAGGAATTCCAAGGATACCTGGATGGCTGGGCAGGGCTGTCACTGTGGTGCACTGCTGGGCAGGAAGGCCAGGCTTCCTAGCTGCGTAGCTGGACAGTGGGTACTGCATAGGGCCAGGCAATGCAGAGGAGGGTCCTGACCTTCTTGAAGCATCCAGGGCCTGGCTCACTTCCCACTGCCAGCTGTGAAAACCTAGTGGCCACCCATTGTACATATAGACCTGTGCACACCTGCTCCCCATGCAGGGAGTATGGTGAGGGCTACACGTCCCTCCTGGGAGGCCCCTGGACACTCTAATTGCACCAGGTGCTCAGCCCCCATGTTTCTGGGTCCCAGAAAGACTCCTAAGCCCTCTCCTACCAAAGGCCCAAAGCCACCTGTTTCCTACAGAAAATCAAGGTAAAGTGTGTGGCTGGAAACCAGGTGGCATCAGTGTCTCAGCTGCGCCCCTCCTGGGCTCCTGAGGTCCCTACTGCATATGCAGGCCTGGCTGAGATGATGGAGCCCAGGAGGGAGTCTGCAGGGGGCAGAGGAGGGGCACCCAGGAAGCTCAGGGTTGTGGGAGGGGTAGGTTGCAAGGTCTAGGCAGGAAAGGTCCTGGAATGGGCAGGTGAAAGACTCAGGCTAGACACAAGGCAGAACTCCCAGCATGTTGGTCCAGGGTGACCTCTGGGTGCCTAGGCCTTTGCCCCTACCTGCCCTTCAGTTGGCTTCACATAGCAGTTACCTTCAGTCACTTCAGCAAAACTCTAAGTGTGACCTTGGGCTCTTTTGGGTGGATGTGGGCCTCAAGCCTACTGCATAGATAGGAAGGTGGGTGAGGAGCCCAGGGCACTGTCTCAAGCCTACTCATCCAAGGGGTACACTCAGTTTCCAAGTTTGCTTTGAATCTTCTGGATCTGGAGACTCACTATGCTTAGTGCTTGGTCTGGGAGAGGAGACAGTTTACATCACCTTCAGAAATACCAAACCCAAACTGTTTATCTCATACAAAACCGAAGGAAGGAAACTGCTAGTAGGGTCTGGACAATATGCTGAGGCTCTCCCGCTCACAAGAGGTAGAACCACCCTGTGGAGTCCTTTGCCTGAGCTGGAAGAGCCCCCTCACCCCTACATGTGCAGGTATTTCTCCAGGCACATGTGAGCGTGCAGCCCCAGAGAAGAGGGGCTGGGGGAGATGTTGGGTGCCTGGACTCTGCCATCTGTGGTCCTGTCTAAAATTCTCAAATCAGGGAATGATTGCTTATCATATGTTGCTTATCTAATTGAAAAGAAATACAAACCTAAAAATAACTGTCACATACCGGTACTTATTCCCGAAACCTTAGTAATAGCGAAAACATAAAGAAAATAAAAGTCACAGTCTGCACTGTCTCCATCGTGCTAGCAGCGTTTCTGGATTGACAGATGCCCTGTAGCGTTGGAAGATGCCACTGCAGGGAAGTGTGCATAGGATTTTCCACATTGTTTGCAACCCTGTAACTCTACAATTATTTCCCCCCCAAAAAAAAAACTGGAAGAGAAATCTGCATGCCTGTCCCTAGTGGGCACTGCACCTGGTTGTGCTGCTGTGCTGCTTCCGTCTGGACCAGATGCACTCTGGACACCTTGGTTTGCCGTCTGCCCATCTTCTTATTTACGTTGTGTGTCTGTTTTTCAGGTTAAAGGAACATTGGTCAACAGCCCAGGGCCCATCTCAAGGTGCCTCTGGGTCCCTGTGAATCCCCCTGATGGAACAGGCAGGAAGAGGCTGGATTGGGTGGGAGGCCAGGAGCCCCGGGTCAGTGAGATGGGACCTGGGCCCAGTGGGGCTCACGGAAGCCTGGAACCCCACAGATTTGGCCTGGTGGTGGCAATTTCCCCAGGAAATTCAGAACAGCCAGGGTTGGAGGGATTGATCACCATACATAAGGAGGTGGCCTGTTGAGGTCGGGAAAGACCTAGGGTGACCAGGCTCAGTGCTCTCCAGAACCACTGCCTCCCCAAAGTGAAACATGCACTGCAGTTGACAGTAGACGCTACAGCTAAAGCCAGAGCCTCCAGGGCCTCCTCCGCTCCCCCTTCCCCCCTTCCTTCCCCATCTTCACCTTCCCCCTCCTCCCCTCCTCTCTTCCTTACTTCCTTCCTCTTCTCTCCCTGTTGTCCCTCTCCCTCCTCCCCCCTCCCTCTTTCTTCCCTTACCCTCTTTCTCTCCACTCCCACCCTCTCCATTGCCCCACCCACTCTGGGTTTGCCCTACAGCCCTGGAAATCTTGGAATTTCAGTTTGGTGGAAAGCAGGAGAGGGTGGATTTGCAGCTTTTCCACTTGGACCACTGGGGGTCAGGTAGGCAGCTGGATGTTGAGCTGGCCTGGGCCTGGGGTTCCTAGCAAAGTCTGTGAGCAGGGGTGGTGGGCACACCCTGCCCATACCCAGGTGGGAAGCAGTGAGCTGGCCCTCTCCTTCCATGCTTGGAGTACAGAGCACCCCTCCAGGTGACCCAGGGTAAGTGACTAGAGGCCTTGAGACAGGTAAGAGCTCTCTATAGAGGGAGGGTCAGAGGTCAGAACTATAGCTAAAGGCTGGGCTCTTGATGGTGACCAAGGTGGTGCCCAACCAAAGGTCACGGCCTGCAGCTGTCAGCATGACCCAGCCTGGGTGTGGGGGCAGGAAGTGTCTTTGGTGCTCTGTGGAGCCTGGGGAGGCCCAGGCCACACCTGGACAGGAGAAGGCAGGGAGGAGGGCAGAGCACCAGGAGAACAGCTGTCCTGTCTCATCCTTATAGAAACAGGCAACATTCCCGGTCTCCCCATAACCTGCTGAGGTTAACTCCAGAGCAGGCCCTAAAACTAAGGTGCGTGTAAGAGCTTTTTGTGGGTCTCTATTGTCAGCATAAGATGAGAGTGAATATGTTCCTGGGGATCAGTGTCTTGGACACCCCTGCCTAGGGCCTCTGAGCATGGAGACTTCCCACTTGTCCTGCGAATGGGCAAGCACTCAGCATGTGTCCATTGCTCCAGGCAGCCTTAGCACAGGCCACGGTAGGCATTGGCTTCTGGCCAATGCCATGCATAGAGTTGTAGGTGGACAGCAGTGGTGTGTGGGCCTAAGCATTTCCCCCCAGCCGAACTGGGCTGGGCTGGGCATTAACCTGGCTGTGGGACTTAAGTCAGTCGGTCACTGTTCTGGATTTGGATCTGTTAGTGTGATTTACTTCCTGGGAGTGCCTGACGCAGGTCTTGGTGGGGAGACTGACTTCTCCCTGAAGCCTATTTGGTGCAGCGGAGCCTGGCTGCTGCCTGCCTCTTCTTGAGCCCCCCATACCATGTGAAGCTGAGCTGAAAGGCCATCTGGGGCCAGGGATGACCAAAGGCATCTCTGTATGGGGAGGGTGGGCAGGAGCATGGTCTTCTGCTCCCAAGTCCTGCCCAGAGTCCATGGCCAGCCCTGCTGCCTCCGAGCTTCCAGCCTGTGAATCCAGGAAATTATTTGGTTCATCTTCAGGAAGGACTAGATCAGGGTGCTCTTGGCCATAGGGAGGACTCTGGAGAAGGTAGTGGAAGTAGTAGGAGGCATGTTTGAAGCTGCACACCCCACCACCACACAGGTGGAGTCTGAAGGGCTCACAAGCCTGTCAGGCGCACAGGGAGACAGCAGCCTCACCAGGAGAAGGCAGGCTGACCTCCACCCCCTTCCACATGTTGCCTCCTAGCTGGGGAAACCAAGGCAAGTCCATGGCAGAGCTGGGAAACCAGTGAGCCCCAGGATTCTAACTCCTGACTCAGTGCTCCCTCTGCTGGGCATAACGGAGGTGACAGCTCAGGTCCTGCAACAGGAGATGGCCTGGTGTCCCCAGCGTGATGGCCTGGTATTTCCATTGTGACGATGGCCTGGTATCCCCATTGTGACGATAGCCTGGTGTCCCCATTGTGACGATGGCCTGGTGTCCCCAGTGTGAGGCCTGGTGTCCCCAGTGTGATGATAGCCTGGCATCCCCAGTGTGATGATGGCTGGCGTCCCCAGTGTGATGATGGCCTGGCATCCCCAGTGTGGCGATGGCCTGGTGTCCCCATTGTGACGATGGCTGGCATCTGCAGTGTGCTGATGGCCTGGAGTCCCCAGTGTGCTGATGGCCTGGAGTCCCCAGTGTGCTGATGGCCTAGCGTCCCCATTGTGATGATGGCCTGGCCTCCCCAGTGTGATGATGGCCTGGCCTCCCCAGTGTGATGATGGTCTGGCATCCTCAGTGTACTGATGGTTTGGCCTCCTCAGCATGATGATGGCCTGGCATCCGCTGTGTGATGATGGCCTACCGTCCCCATTGTGATGATGGCCTGGCATCCCCAGTGTGATGGCCTGGAGTCTCCTGTGCGATGATGGCTGGTGTCCCCATTGTGTTGATGACCTGGCGTCCCCAGTGTGATGACAGCCTGGCCTTCTCAGCGTGATGCTGGCCTAGAGTCCCCTGTGTGATGATGGCCTGGCATCCCCATTGTGATGATGGCCTGGTGTCACCAGTGTGCTGATGGCCTAGAGTCCCCTGTGTGATGATGGCCTGGTGTCCCCAGTATACCTGTGATGAGCTTGAGATTCCAGGGAGCCACAGTGCTCCTTGGAACCCCTTGGGGGTTGCATTAGGAGCAAGGCGTCAGCCTCAGAGTAGACACCTATCATTGTTCAGTATTGGGGGTAGAAGATACTCCTGGGCTACTCCACAGCTGCGGCTGTGCTGTCCAGGTCGGGCTGCCAGCCTTGGGGACACCTTGCAGAGGAACAAAGCCTCAGCAGGGCAGGTACCAGGGCTCAGGAGTGGCTGGAGGTCAGTGAGCCACCCTGGCTGGCTGAGTGGCCTTGGTATGTCCTTCAGCTTCCTGGGAGCTTAGCTGTTCTGGTAACCCAGAGCCACCTTCAAACTCCCCAGCTGGCACTTCCACAAGACAAGCTGTCTGCCCCATACCTGCACGCAGCAGTGGACACAGGAAGCAGCTGATACAGGGAGCTGACCTTCCTGGTAGGTGGGAAGGTGCCACCGTGCCCACCTCCCACTATCACCCTCCTGCAGCACCCTGCCCGCTTGGCTACGTGCTCAGCTGGTGAGTGTCTACTCACTCTGATTTTCAGTTCAGGGACAGGTTCCTCCTGTTCTGGGCAGGGGGCTCTGACACTCGGTGACCTATTTATCCTCTGTCTTCCGCTCATCTGGGCTGCAAGGCTCCTGGTGAATGGGGTCAGTGAAACTGACTGAGCTGAATCACAATCCCCTACAGGGCTGACTGAGTGTCCCTCCTCTGGGAGTTCTGCAGGGCAGGCCCACCTTGGACCCCAGCACTCCCGCAAACACACACACACATAGTAGATGCTCACTTTACCCTTATAGACAGGTTTCTTTGTTGCCAGCCCAAGACCAGCTGTTGGGCAAACTGTGTCCACACTCAAGAGGGTCTGCTTCAGCCAGGGGCTATTTGAACTCAGGGACCCTATACTCCACCTTAGACAAAGGTCTCCTGGCTGGTGGTTTTGATACAGCCTTCTGGGGGGCTATCTGGGAACATCTACAAAATAGCGAAAGTAATAACCCTTTGACCAGACAGGGGCCTGACACTCGGCAGTGCTGTGGGTCTTCAGTGTCCAGTTCAGTGAGATGCAAGGGCAGAATGTGTGCAGTCAGGCAACAGGTGAGGCAGGCACATAGACCCACACACTCAGGTGTAGTCGGTGTCCGTAGAGTTCCCTCTGGGATAGAAGTTGGGGTGGTGACTTCTGCCTCTGTACCCTGTGAGTATAAAGATAGTATTTTTTAACCATAGGCCTAGATAACTTTGAAATAAATTTTTAAAAAAAGTCTTAATGCTGGTAACATTTAGAAAATTCTACACCACCTGGGGGTGCAATGGACAGGGGCACAGTGAGTGGGGGGCTCAGATGTGAGCAAGTGTCCTGAGTGATGTGCTCAAATGTGGACAGCCCAGATGGGGTTGGCTGTTTTATAGTTAGGGCAGACGATGGCAGACAGCTGTGGTCTCAAGTTACCTTGACCACCCAGAGAAGTCATCATAAATCCTCTGACCCCTGTGTCTGCAACATGAGCTGCTGCTTGTTCCTTGTGAGAAACAGGTGGCCCCTGACACCTTGGTGCTGGCCAAGAACTCCAGCCCAGAGGTGTGGATGTGGGGCCAAGGACTCTGGGCGCAGAGGGAGTGCCCACTCTCATGAAAGTCTAGCATCTGGGTAAAAAAGGTCCCACATAGGCATCTGGTGTAGAGGTGCTGATGCACCCAACTGCTGACTCTGCTTGAGCAGTAGAAAGGTTGTGAGGGGTGGGACCCCAGCCCCTGTCCTGTCCACATCCCTTGGCAGGCAGAGCAGCAGTGCAGACTCCACGGCCAGTTCCTGTACCCTCCCAAAGAACTGAGTTGGGTGGCCAGTGTCTTTGGAGTCTCATGACCTAGACCTCCTTGTCCTGCAGCAACTGGGCTGTGGTTGCAGGTGCAGCAGCTAAACCCTGGCCTCCGTGACACATTCCTGGGTCCTCAGGCCTGGCCAAGGTGAAGGCTTTCCCTGGGGTTGGCCTGGGGGGCGGGGCTAGCCTCTCCTGTGAGTACAGCACCTGGGACCTTGTCCCTGAAGCTGTGTTGGGGCTCTCCTATCTCTCTGCTTGTTTGAGTCAGCATGGAGCCCCCTGGATTTCAGGGCTGGCATGACAGCGCCTCCTTGGGCCTCAAATGGTGGGTGGGGGCACTCCTTCTCTTCACATTTGTGAGTAGAACCCACTCAGCCCCAGGGCTCTTCCCCTCCAAAATCTGCTCATCAGCAACTCTGCAGAGACCTCATCAGTGAGCCCAGTAGTGCGCTGCAAAGTGCTCCCCAGAATTCATGTCTACCCAGTTACCTGTGAATGTCACCTTATTTGGAAATGGGGTCTTTGCAGGTATAATGACATTAAGGTAAGGTTATCCTGGACTGGATGAGGCCCCATTCCAGTGGTGGGCATCCTCATAGGAGACACAGAGGCAAAGAGGAAAGTTCAAGAGCAGGGGAAGGCAGGGGTGGGAAGCCAAGGAAGGAAGGAGCCACCACCTGCCTGAATTTCAGCCCAGTGATACTGATCTCAGAGCTGGGAAAGAACAAGTATCTATTGTTTTAAGTCACTCCCAAGGCTTTGCATCCCAGCTTGCAGCCATCCAAGAAGTCACCTGAGCTTTGAGAGGCCACTTCCCAAGGGGCCAGTGTAACCACCTGAGACCAGCTTGGGCATTTGTGACAGGTAAGACCCAGTGTTCAGGGGGCCCTGGCCTGATGCAGAGGGCGGCACCCAGTTGTTTCCCAAACCCACCCTTCAAGAGGTGAGTCAGTACTCCACACAACAAAGGAAAGGGGGCCGGGGACTGAAGGACCAATGACTGGCTATGTGGCTCCAAAGCCAGCAGGTGCCATCCAGCCTGAGGGATGTGAGGTGGGGGGTGAAAGGGTAGGGGCTCTGCATCATACCCATCCAGCTGTTCTAGGCCCTTGGGGGGCAGATACACAGCCCCTATTTGAGGGTCCCAGAGCCAGGTAGCAAGGGGACAGGCAAGGGGACATCTGGCCTTAGTTCAGGGATGAACAGCCCCTCTCTGGCTCCAATCCTGTGAAGAGAGCCCTGCCCCTCAATGACTCTGGCCACCACCATCCCTCCCATGTCTGCTCTTATGCCTGACACACTCTGTTCATTTTTAGACCTGTCCAAAACACACAGACTTCATCTGACTATATCAAAGACCCAGTGGACCCAGATTTGTCTGGGGGTATCAGAAGTCCCTCCTTGCTCCATGCCAAGGGAAACACCCAGCCTGCTCTTCTTCACTTTAGGCCACCTAAAGGCCTGGGAGCCCTGGTGAGGATGGGCTGGAAGCAGTGGCCCGCCACAGGGCTGACCAGCTGCTGGTGCAGTTTCCACTCCGCCGGCAGGGGTGATAGATGCAGTCGTGTCTGCCGATCTGGATGCTCAGGCTCAGAGCTGTTTTGGGGGCCCACTGCGGACCCTGATGACCTGTTGACTCTGCTCAGTATATGTGCAGGACCTGACACCAGGCGCCCAGCTGCACCAAGAGCTACCTGCTAGAGCTGGATACCGGCTGGGAAGGCTGGAGCGGTGCCCAGGAATGAGACCGGGCTCTCCTCACGAGGCTGGAGCCAAGCAGGGTCTGTTCTAGCCCCGAACTAAGACCAGAAGTCCCTTTGCCAGACCGGGGTCAGGGCGCAGAGCAGGCTGAAATCTGCTGGGGGTGAAACCACGGTGAAGAATCAATGAGCACGCTCAGGTACACACTGGCGAGTCCCCAGCCTCAGGAGCACGGTCAGAAAGCAGCTGTCCCGGGGCGCCTAGAAGACGGCAGGCGGCCTGGCCCAGGACCCACTCCCGACCCCTGCTGTCCGGCCGACGCGGCGCCTCTTTCGGAGGGAAGGGCGCGCACCTGAGCGCACACCTGGCTGCTTCTCACTCGGTCCCGCCGTCGCCGGACACGCCCCACGTGACATCCCAGGCTCGCCCCTCCTCCCGGTCGCAGCCACGAAACAGCCGTGCTAGACTGTGACTCAGGGCATGAAATCCGTCCCGGAGGAGGTAGTGCGCAGGCGCGGCACGTGGCGTCCCGACGGCGTCCCCGGCATGCCCCGCGCGCGCTGACGTAGCGCAGCCTTGTCCCCGCCGCTGCGGCCGCCACTTTCGCCGCCGCAGTCGTCCCTGCCGCTGTCGCCGCCATCGAAGTCGGCGCGTCCTCGGTGCGTCCGAGTCCCGGGCTCAGCGGCGCCCCGCGCGCTCTGCAGCCGCAGCCCGGCCGGCGCCCCGGGACTTGGCGGCAGGGCCCGGGGCCGCGCGAGCGCGGGTGACAATCCCGACCTCGCGGGGAGGCCCGAGCCTACGGGCACCCCGGCCCGGCGCCGCGCTGTTCATGAAGCATGTCGGCCACCAGCGTGGACGCCCAGGTAGCGGGGCCGGGCCGGGCCGGGCGGGGCTCGGGGCTGGGGGCCGGGCCGGGGGCGCGCGTGGGTGCCGCCGCGGAGGGTGCTCCGGTGGGTAACTCTGTGTTTCCTTCTCCCATCGGCGGCTCCCGCGCCTCGGCCTGCGGCGGTGCAGAGAACAAAAGGACAGGATAACAAAGGTGAGCTAGCCCGGCAGAGCGTGGGAGGGGTTCTGGGAGGGGGCCGCGTCTGGAGCCGAAACTTCCTCTCAGTTGCCGGGCTCGGGGAGATTGGGCGGGTCAGAAACAGGAACCTTTCTAGAAGGAAATAAATGGGTGCTTGGGGGCTAATCAGCCCATCTCCCCGCCACAAGATCTGTGACTTAATGGGGGAGGGGAGGAGGGCGAGGAGATATGCCCAGTGGACATGGGCCGACATGTCCGGACCGGGCCGCGGGGCTGAGTGATTTGTCCTCTGCCGCCCGGTAGGGGCTGCTCGCGGGGAGAGGCAGCCGCGGCCCTGCAGGCCAGTCCTTAATTGAGAACCCGTAAGTGACACTTCCTGTTTGCTTGGAAGATTGTTTTTAACCAGTGTGTTTGTTAACTCGGGTGTAACTGAAAATGGTTCATCATGTTTTAAGATTGGAGAAGGCCCAGCACTTCATGTACATTCTTTTTCTGGCTGGGCTGCGTGCCAGTGGCAGTATGAGCTTCAGGGCTGACATCTAGTTACAGCCCCCTCCCAGCCTCAGTGCTCCACATGCCTCTTTGGACTTTTGGAAACACCATTCTGTTTGTAACTAGTACGTCTTCTTAGACTATATTGATTTCGCACCTGGCGATGCCTTTCTTGCCTTAGGTTGTTTGCACCTATACTTTGTCAGTGTCTCTATAAATGATGATTATATCTTTATTAAAAATGTAGTGTGGTTTACTGAGATTCTCATTAGCATGTAAACATCAGTTTTGTGTTGATTGTGTTCGTTTTTAATGAAAGCATAGTTTTTACTAGCAATTGATGGAAGTAGACTTTACTATGATTTCCATGCTTGAAAGTAGTCTTTTTAAGATCTGAAGGTAATATTTTGCAAATTCTTGTTCTAGTACAAAATGGTTCTCTGCATCAGAAGGACACTGTTCATGACCATGACTTTGAGCCCTACCTTTCTGGACAGTCGAGTCAGGTGAGTTTACTTTGATAGCATACTTTATTTTCAAATTTGTTTCATTAGGTAACAACACACCTTCACTGTCGTGTTTCTGATTTTTAAGTTATCCTAAACAACAGTGAAGCAGACTGTAAGGTGTTAGAAATAAGAGTGCTAACAAAGACTTGCTTTGAAAAATTGCCTATCCTTAAACTTGGGGAGTGAGTGTGATGAGGATAGGTTTCTCTCTGGAGAAATTAACATCCCACTGGGACTGGGATGTAGCCATTTCTAGGTGGCTCCAGCACTTGTGGGTCAGTGTTGCAGCCCCCTTGTTCCCAGCCACCATGCTGCCACTGTCTTGCTGTGCCTATGCGTGCATCCTTTAGTTGCGCTTGTGCTGTTTGTTGTCCTCGGTGTGTTGCCTTGTAGGGGGAAGATGGCTAAGATGTTTGTGTCAAAGACAGAAGGGAGCAGGATTTCAGGATTCAGTGGGGCTCACTTGTGAGTAACCCATGTTACTGGAAAGGAAGGGCTTAGAGGGGACCACTGGGCTGCTCTGCTGTCCTCGACAGCTCTAGCTGGAAGCCCTGAGATGCCCTGCCTTGCACAGCAGGCAGGGTGGGAAGCCTAATGGGTGGTTGTCACAGCTCTGTATAACCTGCGTGTTGGGTATGTCCGTTTATTATTTAAATCGATTTCCAGGGATGCTAAATGCTTAATGTAATGCACATCTTCTAATATCCTGAGTTACATCTCATCTTAGTTAAGGCTTTAAGTATGACTCAGAAGTGGCCATGGGTGTCTCTGTAGCCTTACTTCTGTTGGTTTTTATGGCCACATGCATGTTGATGTGACCAGGAGTGTGTCCAGCCTGGTGGGAGGGGCACCCCTGGACACTCCCCTGGGGAAGAACCATTCCCTTTGTCCTGCTGTCCACAAATGCACCTGCAGACACTGCCTCACAGAATGCATCTCTGCCACTTCCCTGTTGGCCTGCTTCTCCCTCCTGCCCAGCTCTGCCAGATATCCACAGGCATGGTTACTGCAGAGGAGCCAGGATGGTTGATGTCTGTTGGTAGGAGGATTCTTGTGTGTAGAACATCAGTGGTGTCTAATTTGTTTTTCACCCTGAGAATCTCAAAGATTTTATTATAGGCAGACAGTTGTTACTGTATTTTAAAAGATGATTTTGAAATTGCTGACAAGTGGAGCAGTTGATAGGGAGGCAATTAGAAAGGAAGTCTGATTCCTGAAGCCTCAGGAATTCTAGGCTAAGACCAGGAGGCAGAAGGTGATAACCTGGCTGCGGGGTCACCACAGTCTGTGAGCATTGGCTGCTGATGGGCTGAGGGCTCTGAGGAGCAGCTGTGTCTGTGGGGGCGAGTTGCTTCCTGTCCCACTATGCTGTCTGGTGCTCCACACCTGCCTTTTTGTGCCCCCAACTGGAGGATGGGTGCAGGAGTCCACTGTTCTTCAAAGGGTGGTCTTTGAGTCCCCACAAGGGATAAACTTGGCGGGCAGCAGGTCTTGCTGGAAGAAGGTGTGAGGTTATAGAACTTTCTGGTTACTTGGGGAAGGGGATTAGGGGAACTATTTAAAAATGAGGACATCCCGCTGCTTTCCTTAATGGCACTTCAACACACTCAGACTGACTGGGAGGAGACTTAGCCACTCCTCGGCCCCACACAGACACACGTGCCTCTCACGAGTGCCTTGAGTAGTGGTGTAGTGTGAGCACCCAATTCTGATCAGACCTTTGGGCAAGTGAGTCTATAAGTGATGCCTTCAGGGACCACCGTGGTGATGCCCTCTGTCAGGCCTTGGAACCAGGTCCTTGTGGACCAGGCACTTTAAAACCCTTCTCTGGGGTTCCAGCTATCATGCAAAGGTATATTCTCAGTGAGGCAGCCCAAGCCCTGGTGAATTGGCACCCAAAGAGCAGGCTCCTGGGTACCCAGAGAGCAGAGCTCCCACACCTGGGAAATCCATGGGAATGGGAGAGGGGGAGATCCTCATGGACTCAGAAGTTGCATGGGAGGAGCCTAAGAATGGCTTATCCTATGGGAAGGAGTTCCAGGAGGGCTTTTTGGCCCAGAGGTGGCATGTTGAGTTGGGGAGTTCGAAATCAGCTTGCAGGGGCAGATCCCTTGCAGCCTGGGAGTCCTGCTTCCTGTAGAAACTCCTTGCTGCGTTTCTGAAGCAGTTCCATTGTGCTATCAGGATCTATCCTCAGCCCTGTTACCAGCAGAATGGGGGTTTAATCCTAATCTGGATCCTTTTAAATGGGTCAGCTATGGAAGATAAAATGGAGGGAGGGCTGGCTTGGCTTGGCCCTTAGCTTGAGTCAGGTCCTTGCAAGTGAGGCTTTGTGTTTTGAGACGAAGCCTGAACCACGTTCCTTACTGACTGTTCTCAGTCCTGACTCACAGTGGTCCTCACATTGGGGCCCTTGCTGTCCTCTGGAAGGTGCAGGCCAATGCTATGTGCATCTCTTTTTCACTCAGCCCCTGGGTAGCTCAGATGGTCAGTGTCTCTGGGTGCTGTGAGCATGGTCTGACCTGCTGCCTGTTTGTCTCTACAGAGCAACAGCTACCCCTCGATGAGCGACCCCTACCTGTCCAGCTACTACCCGCCGTCCATCGGATTTCCTTATTCCCTCAATGAGGCCCCATGGTCCACCGCAGGGGACCCTCCAATTCCATACCTCACCACCTATGGACAGCTCAGTAACGGAGACCATCATTTTATGCATGATGCTGTTTTTGGGCAGCCTGGGGGTCTGGGGAACAACATCTATCAGCACAGGTTTAATTTTTTCCCTGAAAACCCTGCATTTTCAGCATGGGGCACAAGTGGGTCTCAAGGGCAACAGACGCAGAGCTCTGCATATGGGAGCAGCTACACCTACCCGCCGAGCTCCCTGGGCGGCACAGTGGTTGATGGGCAGACAGGCTTTCACAGTGACACGCTCAGCAAGGCCCCCGGGATGAACAGCCTGGAGCAGGGTGTGGTTGGCCTGAAGATCGGGGAGTGTAGTGCCTCTGCAGTCAAGACTGTGGGCTCTGTTGTCAGCAGCGTGGCACTGACTGGTGTTCTTTCTGGCAACGGCGGGACAAATGTGAGCATGCCGGTTTCAAAGCCGACCTCATGGGCGGCCATTGCCAGTAAGCCTGCAAAACCACAGCCTAAAATGAAAGCAAAAAGTGGGCCTGTAATGGCGAGTGCTCTGCCTCCTCCGCCTATAAAGCATAACATGGATATTGGCACCTGGGACAACAAGGGGCCTGTGCCCAAGGCCCCAACCCCCCAGCAGGTCCCATCCCCACAGTCAGCCCCGCAGCCCCCACAGGTGGCTCAGCCGCTCCCAGCTCAGCCTACCCCTTTACCCCCACCACAGTATACATGTCCTCAGCAGCCCCCGCAAACCCGCTGGGTTGCCCCTCGCAACAGAAACGCAGCCTTTGGGCAGAGTGGAGGGGCCAGCAGTGATAGTAACTCTTCTGGCAATACCCAGCCCAACTCTGCCCCCAGTGTAGACTCCCACCCAGTCCTTGAAAAACTGAAAGCTGCCCATAGCTACAACCCTAAAGAGTTTGACTGGAATCTTAAGAGCGGGCGTGTGTTCATCATAAAGAGCTACTCGGAGGATGATGTCCACCGCTCCATCAAGTATTCCATCTGGTGCAGCACAGAGCACGGCAACAAACGCTTGGACAGCGCCTTCCGCTCTGCGGGCAGCAAAGGGCCTGTCTACCTGCTCTTCAGTGTCAACGGGAGCGGGCACTTCTGCGGGGTGGCTGAGATGAAGTCCCCCGTGGACTATGGCACCAGTGCTGGGGTCTGGTCTCAGGACAAGTGGAAGGGGAAGTTTGACGTGAAGTGGATTTTTGTCAAGGATGTGCCCAACAGCCAGCTCCGGCATATCCGGCTGGAGAACAACGACAACAAACCGGTCACAAACTCCCGAGACACACAGGAGGTGCCCTTGGACAAAGCAAAGCAAGTGCTGAAGATCATCGCCTCCTATAAGCACACGACCTCCATCTTTGACGACTTTTCTCACTATGAGAAGCGCCAGGAGGAGGAGGAGGTGGTTCGCAAGGTGAGTATGGTATCTCATTCTTGCGTGCAGGTGGCCACCAGCTCTGGGCTACATCACTTAGACTTCTCCCATCAAGGGCACTGGGAATGACTGTGGCATGTGGATAGAAGTCACCACATAACTTTGGGTGCATCCTAGCTCTGAAGAGCATGGTGACAGGCACCGGGCAGGCTGCAGGTGCTGGCCTGTGGATGTGAGGCTGCCTCCCCGAGGCTCTTGGTTCCCAGGGCATTGCCCCTCGTGGTTGGGAAGCTCTGGTCTCCCATCTAGAGATTGTTTATTTATTTATTTTTTAAACGTAATACCTAAAGTTTTTAGAAACATGAACGTGGTCCATCTAGGTAGTGAAGAAAATGGTGGGAATAGGCAGTTTGGAATCCAGACCTTTTGTAATAATATGTACATTTAGATTAAAAAACAACAGGCTTTGTCTGGTCCGCTTGTTCTGGTCTTGCTCTCCTGCGTGCTGCAGCTGACTGTAGGAGCTCAGACTGTCACCACTCTGCAACCGGTGTGTCTGGGTCTTCTTCAGAAGAGTTGGGCTCAGGGGCCACACACTGGCACCAGAAATGAGAGATTGAGGACACTCATATACTTCCTGAACTGCCTTTCTTTGAGAGAATTTGTCCTGAGAGTCTTTCCTCTTTTAGTGTGAAATTGTCCTTTTTTCTATAAAATGTTGGTTGACAGTAAGTGGTTTCAGTCCTCTGTGTTACAGGAGATCACCTGTGAGCACCAATGCCCTGCAGTGTTTGGTCAGGAAGCACAGACGGGGCAGCGAGCAGCAGCCTCAGCATCTCGAGTTACACACATCTGCATGACTCATGGTTTACAAAAATTGAGGAAGTGTTGGTCCCTCTTTGACTCTAGAGAAGAAAAGAGGATGACACTTACCTCTAGTTCCTGACCTTCCCAGGTCCATGCCTGGAATGAGCCAGCTGCCCAGCTGGTTAGTGCCCCGCCCTGGTGGGCAGTTGGAGCACAGCTCAGCCCATTTGTCCAGTAGGAACTGCCCAGGCCCACCTACGATCTTCTAGTGAGCCCAAAGGAACATCAAGGTCCTCCTTTGTCACTGTCAATAATATGAATTAACAGAACACGCTGCAGCCAGGCAGGCCAAGAGTTTTCCAGCCTGACTGGCCAGGTGCAGGGAGGGCTGCCTGCTCCTCCCCAGGATGCCTCGCCTAGCAGCCGAGCCAAGATGGCCTTTAGGGCATCCCAAGTGGCGGGGGAACACATTGGACCCAGATGCAGGCCACTTGCCCAGAACCTTAACCTGAAAGGATAACTTCACACCAGAAAAAGAGAATCTCAAGGACCAACTCTCTCAAAAAAAGGAAGACATGACACAAAACTCATGTATCTAAGGACTGAGTTTCCATGATGCAAGTTTTAGGACGTTAGAATTATACAAATATCAACCAGGTTGACTAGAATTTCACCCCTAAGTGCCTAACAGACCTTGAGGACTCAGTGCATTTAGAAAACCCAAGTGCCACAGTGCTGAGAAGAGCTGCAGGTACACAGCCTTCAGCTGCATGGGAGCTCAGGTCTCGCTCACAGGCATCACCCTTCTATGCAGAATCAGCAATTCAGTGTTTTATTTTATGCCTAGCACTAAAAGTGCTTCAGACAGAGAAGGCAGTGAGTGTCAGACAAAGCATGTGTCTGGCTCACACTACCCTGACCTGGGCTGGCCACAGGGGCCCTGACCACCGGTCATCATTGTGGGAACACAGGCCACCTCTGGCGAATGACTTTGACTTTAGGACCTGGGTAAAGAGGAGAGACTTTTAAGACGCTGAATCTTTGTTACTGATGATTCCTCTCAAGTCTAAACTATGCTTAACAACTTCATTTTTTTTTTTTTGAGAAGTTTTATGAATAATTGTATTTCTTCTAAAGAGAACATGGTGAACTTTGTAGCAGTTTATGAGAGTTAATGGGAGATAGAACACTGGGAAGTGTCCACCTCTGAATGGCTTTAGTAGCAGCTGTTTGAACTCAGAGAGATTGGCATCTGCTGGTAAGGAACAGCAACACCTCTTTTTTAAAGAGATTTTTTTATGGTTGGGTACAATGGCTCATGCCTGTAATTGCAGCGCTCTGAGAGGCCAAGGCAGGTGGATTACCTAACTTCACAGGTTCAAGACCAGCCTGAGCCAGAGACTCTGTCTCTAGAAATAGCTGGGTGTTGTGGCAGGCGCCTGTAGTCCAGCTACTTGGGGAGACTAAGGTAAGGGAATCACTTGAGCCCAAGAGTTTAAGGTTGCTGTGAGCTAAGATGCCACATCACTCTGCCCAGGGTGACAAAGTGAAACTCTGTCTCAAAAAAAAAAAGAATTTTAAGAGAATGCAGAATATATCAAGTTCTTAATTTTTCTAGTTTTACATTTCAGAGTAAGGAGGAGACGTTAGTTTTAGAGTGGTGGTTGTCTGTCTAGCACTAGGTCCAGAGACCCTGGGGGCTTCTCAGGACAGGGCGACTGTACATTCTGGCTAGTGCTGGTGAAGGTGCCTGAGGTGTTGTCTTATTAGCCTGGAGACACTCATGTTTGTTCTTGGCAGAACAGGAGGCTGCAGTAATGTTTTGGTCTCTGCTCCCCACGTTCTTTACTAGGTTGTATCTTGGCAGAAGAGGATGGATGTGCTAGGCAGGGATCTTTACTGCGTGGTGCAGTCTGTGCTCTTGGACTGAGTGTCCCCATATCTATCTGCTATCTGCTGTGTTTTAAGGACAGACTCAGGTGGCCTCCAGACCCCCTAACTAGAAGCCAGGCAGGCAGATGTGGGAGTGCTTCAGCTGTAAGCCTCAAACCCGTGTGCCCCACATACTCTGAAAGCTTGTTCTCTTCATAGAAGTAGAGAGCAGATGTGACCTGGTGCCTTGCCTGGAGTAAGTCCCTCTGCTGGGGGCTGTGTTTTAGGTAGCAGAGCAGACTTGGGGTGGTAGACAGGGCCTAGTTGCTGTTGGTGACTCAAGCTTGCTTTAGCCTATTAGAAGGACTTCAGTGTTCTTTGAGCACTGAGAGGTTTAAGTGAGATAAAAATACAAAGAGCACCTATGTCCCTGGTGTGCTTGAGACCCTGTGATTGCCAGTTTTTCCTTTGATACAAGTGATGTTGTGTTTCTAATGTATTTCCAGGTAGAGGGACAGTGGCACATGAGGGCAGGTGGGGTATGGGTGCACCTGCAGCCACAGTGCATCTCTGCTCACAGTGAGGGCACTTTGGGGAGGGACTGGGGCAGGGTGCACCTGCTGCGTGGATGGTCATCACATGGCCTGGACTGTGGGATGCTGGTGTGACCTGGGCTGAGCAGGGGTGCTGCCGTGAGGAGTGTAGCTGCAGCTGCAGGCAGCTTGGCCCTCACTGTGGGAGGGCTTGACTTGTGTGACCTGGTCATTCAGAGCACTCACCTCTTCCCCTCTTTCTTTTACAGGAACGGCAGAATCGAAGCAAACAGTAAGAACAAACCAGTTTCTTGTATGTTCTAACGTCCGACTTTGAAAAGCAGTTTTAAAGACGTGTGCTTGGTCAGCTCCAGTGTGTGGTCCTGTGCAGGGCTAGATGCTGTCTTCATCATCTTTGTAGCTTATTTTTGCCCAGATGGATATGCGTTCATTTGTATTTTTTCTATGTATTATAATATTGTAGAACTCACTAATAAAGGAGTATTTTTTTGTCAGCTTATCAATCAGACTGACCTAATGTGAAATATAAATTTCCTTAAAAGCAAAGCAAAACACAAAAACTTAATATATCCAAAGATTTTCTTTTATCTTGGCAGAAATTAAGTTCTGTTTATATTTACAGTCACGTATGTCTCCAGGTGAGATTTTGCATCTCCCACCCCTTTACTGCTTTCACAGACATCAGAAACGACGAGTTGTCATTAGAGCATTCTGTCAGAATGTCTCCAGAGTGCTGGAAATCAAAAGGTTAATGATCCCCTAGTCCAGCTGGTTTACCACTTTTATCTGTTATCTGCCTAAAATGCTAATCTGTCCTTTACTTTTTTTATTAGACAGGTAAATTTTACTTTTTCAAGTTTTTTGGATATGTTTTCTTCCCTTGAAAACCTGTCACTTCCTGACCTGCCCATGCCAAGCTACAGCTCTGTCCAGCGCTGTCCACCTGACCCTGCTACGTAGCAATGGGGTTCTGTGGGGAGAGTGGGGGAGCTCAGAAGGTGTTCTGGGCCTAGCCTGGAGTTCCAGTGTCCCCAGTTCACAGATCATTTTTAATTTCCTCCTTTTCTTCTCTTGAGAATTCTAATGCCATCATCACATCAGCAAGACTACACTTTACATGTAGGGTCTGGTGGTCCAGACAGTGTGGTGGAGATGCCACTGATTGTAAATTTCACCATGCAAATCTAATTTTTTTGTTGTTGTTGTTGAATGGGTAAAAACAAAAAAGCCTTTCAGAAAATGAATTTGCTGTCATGTTTTGTGGAATAAGGGACTGTTGAGCTGGCCACCACCCGGAATTTGAGTTTACGCATGAAAATGGTGCTCGTGCCTGACACCCAGCGCAGCCGTCTGCACGCCGGTCTGCAGGGTCCTCACTGTCCTAGAAGCAGACACCTTTGATTCTACTTCCTCCAGAAGACCCTCCATGTTAAAGTTTAAGCTGTATCATTTAGACTTGTATTTAGAACGAATCGCTTCCTCTGAAATGTCACTGCCTGTGTGGAGTCATGGTGGACAACATCGGGTAACTTTCCTCTAGGAGAATACAAGCCTTAATAAACACCTACTTAGCAAAGCTGCTGTCATTTTGTTCTTCACCCACCCCCATCAAACAGCCTGTGTGCTTCTCAGGTCTGGGAGGAGCCAGGGGAGCCTGAGCGGCACCATGACTACCCTCGTGCTCACTATGCACACATGTTGAGGGGACCGCCAGCACCCTGCACCCCTCTCCTTCCTGGACTGGCATCCCTACCCGCTCCTCGTCCACCCTTTGATGCATCTCATTTTCACCAATTTCAAATTGCAGATGGCTGCAGAATCCCTCAAAACTCTGTGGCATGTATATCAGTGACGGTTTAGTGTTTGTTTACTTTTGTCCTTCGAGGTAAAATTTACAGACAGTGAAATGCACAGACCCTAAGCATACATCTGCAGAGATCTGACTGAGTTTTGTTTTTTTTTTTTTTGAGCTAGAGTCTCACTGTCACCCTGGCTAGAGTGCTGTGTTGTCATAGCTCACAGCAACCTCCAACTCTTAGACTTAAAGTGATTCTCTTGCCTCAGCCTTCCAAGTAGCTGGGACTACAGGCGCCCACCACAACGCCTGGTTTTTTTTTGTTGAAGTTGTTTTAACTAGCCCGGGCTGGGTTCAAACCCACAAATTTTGGTATATATGGCTGGTGTCGTAACCACTGTGCTATGGCGCCAAGCTGAGGTCTGACAAGTGTTAACACAGATGAAAGGTACCAGTGTCACTCAGGAAATCCTCTTGTGCCCTTCCCAGGCAGTCCCCACTGTGCCAGGGTCTGGTAGCAGGTGCGAGGAGGCCAGCAGGAAGCTAATGTGCCCAGGAAATCCTCTTGTGCTCTTCACAGGCAGTCCCCTCTGTGCTGGGGTCTGGTAGCAGGTGTGAGGAGGCCAGCAGGAAGCAGAAGGACTCTGCTCTGTCCGCTCTTCGCACCTGCAGCTAGTTCCCAGTTACCTCGGGGATTTCATCATATCGTGTCTCAAACCTGGAGTGGCTGATTCTTTCATACTTGCATTGTTTTCTTACAAGTGTGCCACCCATCACTGGGCTCCTTTGAAGTTTTTAATTCTGGCCTTTTAGAGGGATCTGGGATGTTATGTTTGTTACACAGGGTGCCTTCTATGTGTGTGCCAGCATTAGGGGCTGGCGTGGAGGAAGCGGGGAGTGTCAGTTGATCCCGTTAGGCTAAAGGTCGTTGCTGAATGATCTGTGTGTTGAGGGTGAACACTGCAGTCTGAGCATCGCCTGTCCCCAACGCTCCCTGCAAACCCAGGGAGGAGCCAGTGGCTGGCGCCTCTGTCCCCCAGGAAGTCTGGAGAGCCGACATCAACCGCAGTCGCTGTGGGACCTCCACACCTGTTCTTTGCACTCTGGGATGCCTTGTCTCCACCAGACGGGGTGGGCCCTGGACACTGTCATCTGTGTTCTGTAGGAGACATTCAGAAAAGGAGGCCATAGGCAGACAGATGGCCAGGGAGGTGCTGGCACGAGCCAGGTGGCACCCAGAGCCACAGATGAAAGGGACAGGAAGGAAGGACCCTACCCTGGAGCCCATCGTGTTTTGCTTTGTAAAGGGCTGGGGATCTTTAGCACTTCCACTGGGCTCCTCTGGGGCCACCTGTAGGACCTCTTCTTTTTCCCTCTGCTCTTCCCCAAAGCACACCATGTTAGGTTTTTTAAAATTCATAATTCTGACTGGAAAAGCCTTTAGCTGGACATGCCCTGAGGTCCCTAGGGCTGTGACATTTCCTTGGAGGGTCTGATAGCTGGGGAGCAAGCCAGAACACACTGCAGCAGTGTCCAGCGGCTTTGTAGGGCACTCATGTTCTTGGTGCAGAGCTGTCTGACTAGGGTGTGAGTGGAGGAGGCATGAGGCCTACTGTGCTATGGGACCTACTTCTCCACTTCCTCTGCTTTGGACGCAGGACAGAAATAACCCCCCTGGCCAGAGACCACCTGTGAGCTGAGGCCCATGACAGGAATTGGGGCACCACGGCTGTCCTGCTGTGACTTCGGGTTACTAGGCCTCTGTGTGCTGTGGAGGTAGGTGACGAGGGCACACTGGGGACCCTCAGCTCCAGGCAGTCTGGAGAGGACTCGCTCTCTGAGCAGCCCACATGCCCGGGGTGCCTGTGCTATCCACAGCCTGGCTGCTCTCAGGGTGGAGAAGCCAGGAGTTCCCCCAAACAATGTGTTAGAAAAGGGATGTGAGCAGACCATGACAACACATGCTTAGATTCCCCTTCATCTGCAGGTGATATGCGCCTAGTGCACACGTGACCACACAAAAACAATGTCCCTTCAGCAGGGGTTTCTTCTCACCATGCATCACTATTTCCAAGAGGATTGCCAAAAAAGGACCCACTCGGTGTGTGCAGTTCTGTCACTCCCATGTGTGGAGGGTCCCTGCCCCCTGCCCTGTATGCAGTTGTGTGTTCCCGTGGGGGTCCCACGTTATTGTGCATGTAATTTCCCGTCTGTCTCTGCATGGATTGTGGGTCTGGGCACAGTATCATTCTCTGTGCATGGTCACAGCTGTGCTGATGTGCAGCCAGGCATGTGCAGTCACAGGCTGAGCAGACCTGGGTCCAGGGGTCTGTTCTGTACCTGTGGAGAAGGGCCCGGGGCCTGCTGGCCTCCCCATGGTGCCAGGTGTCAGGGATGGTCTCAGAGGATGTCTGCCACAAGCTCCTCTCCTCTGGGGAGTCCACGCAGGCAGACTGGGAGCTTTCTGGTCAGACAGCCCCTCTTCCATGCACCCAGACCATTCTATCCAAGGAGTGATCCACTGTTGCCAACATGTGGACAGAGCTCAGGGACCTCATTGCCAGGACCTCCCTGTTCTCTCTAGCTCTGAGGCCTTAGAGAAGGCAAGCTTTCCAGGTGAGGTCTTCAAGGGGACATGCACATCCCTGAAGATGACAGGGTGAGCTGGTGCTCTGGGCCATCCTGGGAGGTGAGGCCCAGTGGCTGCTGATGCAGAACCAAGTGTCACTTCCTATGGATAATGTGGGCTCTGGCACTGCTGGTTGTGGCAGCCTGGCCACTTGTTGCTGTAAAGAATCTCCTGGCAGAGGTTGGGGGGTAGTCTCAGCTGGCCTTTAGTTGGATGGTTCCTGATCCAGGGCCAGGGCTACAGGACCCTCTTAGGAGATGTGACCTCAGCCCTGCTTGTCAGGCTTGAAGACTGGGACTTTCTGTGGGGGCAGTTGCTTTTCCAGGGCAGGGTCTTGGTTAGGCCCATGTCTCAGGCTTAGATTTGCAGGATCCCAGCTTGGCCTGTAGGGGCCCCAGGTGCACAGCCAAGCAGAGGTATGCCCCTAACCTAGCTTCCTGGAGCCAGTGTCCAGTCCAGACAGAAGGGATCCCAGAACCAATTCATGGTGGCTCTACCTCCACCCAGGTTTCAGGTTCTGTGTAGGTACCTGAGTATGTGTGTGTGTGTGTGTGTGCACATGTGTATGTGTGCATGTGTGTGTGATGTGAGCAGGTGTGTGTATGTGCACATGCATGTGTTATGTGCATGTGTGTGTGGTGTGTGCATGCGTGTACATGTATGTGCACATGTGTATGTGTGCACAGGTGTGTGTGAGCAGGTGTGTGCATGTATGTGCATGTGTGTATATGTGCACATGTGTGGTGTGAGCAGGTGTGTGCATGTATGTACACATGTGTATATGTGCACGTGTGTGGTATGAGCAGGTGTGTGTGTATGTGCATGTGTGTATGTGTGTGTGTGGTGTGCATGAGCAGGTGTGTATGTATGTGCATATGTGTGTGGTGTGCGAGCAGGTGTATCCATGTATGTGCATGTGTGTGTGGTGTGAGTAGGTATGAATATGTGTGCACATGTGTGTGGTGTGAGCAGGTATGTATGTATGTGCATGTGTATGTGTAAGCAGGTGTATTATGTATGTGCACATGTATGTGGTATGGGTGAGCAGGTGTGTGTATGTGCATGTGTGTACATG